TGAAACCAAATTAATAATCACCATACCAAGTTTTAAAAATATCTTCTTTTGTTGGATACTTAGAACGGAAGTGGGAAGACCTACACTATGTGGGGTCCTGCAGGTTCAATGCTTGAGGATCCATCTCCTAAAGGCGAGCAAGGACTCGCGCCTCGAATCTTTCAGATGCTGTTTTCTGAAATCCAGAGAGTAAGTTATGCTTCCTTACTATTAACTAAAGTTTTTGTTTGACTATGAGACCTTTGATGGATGGTTCATCAAATAAGCATCATACTGTTGCCAATTATGTAGGAGAAGATGAAGTCTGGAGGAAAAGATTTAAACTATCAGTGCCGTTGTTCTTTTCTTGAGGTGCCTTTGCCAAAACCCATATGAAGGATTCTTTATAGAGAAAACATGCTTCTAGAATTTCCTGAGTTAGATTGCTTAATCTTTGCCTGCAGATATACAATGGGCAAATTAGTGATTTGATCGAACAAACCCAGAGAAACCTTAAGGTTAACTTCACTAGTCAACTGTTTTCCTCGCTCAAATTAATTTTTGTTGAGTATTTTAAACTTTTGATTGTGTCATATGGCAGATTAAGGATGATGCAAAGAATGGTATTTACGTTGAGAACTTGACTGAGGAATACGTAGATAGCTACGAGGATGTAGTTCAGATATTGATGAAGGTATCATGCCATCTTCATATTATTAAGTATTAGTTATTCTAAGTTATGAATACTATGTGTATATTGTTTCACTAGGTCTTGAAACCACCGCTAGATGCTTCTGCATAATACTCATTCAGAACACTCTGTTCATTTCTTCACTGATTCCAAGTCTAATATCTCATACTTTGGTGTGCATTGTGTTTTGCTTTCCAGGGCCTTTCAAGCAGAAAAGTTGGAGCAACTAGCACAAGTTTTCAAAGTTCTCGATCACACGTCATACTTTCTTTCATTGTCGAGTCTTGGAATAAGGTATAGTTATTTTTCGACTTTATTGCATATTGAACACTGATGAACGACTGATCAAATATTATCTACGCACAGGGAGCCTCATCAAGATGTTTCAATACTACCAGAACAAGCAGGATCAACCTTGTTGATCTTGCTGGAGCGGGAACAAATGAACGTGAAGCTACTAAACATTGTGTGGAGGAAGAGAAGTTCTTGAAGAAGTCTCTGTCGGAGCTCGGGTATAACTTTATGTACTCCCTGTGTTACTTTCTTAGATCCCAACTAAGAAATTAGCATCCAAAATAGGGAACAAAAAAATCAACAACTTCATGAGTGATTTGTTAACACTGTCATTTTTACTCTTGGTGCAGCCATGTTGTAAATGCTCTGACGAAAAACGTTCACCCTGGAATATCCGACCGCAGTCTTCATAAAACCTCATGCTTGACGCATTTATTGCAAGAATCTCTTGGTGGAAATTCAAAACTCACTATCCTGTGCAACATTTTCCCGAGCGACAAGTATGTTTCTTCACCTTGTTATCACTGATTAGTTAAATATAAAACATAACAGCCTAAACGAACCATGTATAAAGATTCAATCAATATAATGATCTGTATAGAGAGATAAGGAGTGCAAATCTCAGGTCTTGCTCAAAGAACAAAGCTCAAAACACTTGAGCATCTTAATGACAGGATACCCACTATATGTACTAATAGAGTTTGTTTGTGTAACGCAGAGACACCAAAAGAACAATGAGCACCCTTAGATTTGGTGAACGGGCTAAAGCCATGGGAAACAAACCAATGATAAATGAGATCTCAGAAGAAGATGTGAATGATTTGAGTGACCAGATTCGTCTGCTAAAGGTTTAATCTCCTCTTCCCAACTCATTCCCATATTTTGTCTTTCGATTTTTGAAGTTGGATGTCATTCAAATATCATTTACTATATTTTTTGCAGGAAGAACTTACAAGAGCCAAAGCCGATGCGTGTCATTCTGTTGGGAGTAAAAATGATTATTTCGGAGCAAAGAATGCACGTGAAAGTTTGAATCAACTAAGAGTTAGTCTTAACCGCTCTTTGATGCTGCCAAAAATTGATAATGACGAGGAAGAGATAACGGTTGATGAGGATGATTTTAAGGAACTGCATCAGCAGATCAAGTCCTTGCGTGGTTCATTCAACCAGAAACTAAAGAAGCTCCCTGTCAACAGAGAGTCAGTCAGCTCTTCCTTTGTAACAGCATTCGGTGAATCAGAGCTAATTGATGATGATGAGATCTTTTCAGAAGCAGTAGAAGTTGAGGAGAAAGATTTTGGTGAATCTTTGGAAGAACATGACGACGACAGTGCTGCAACAATATATAAATCAAGTGTAAAATCCAGGATAAAGGAATTTGCATCGGAAAACAGCATATCAATCAATCCCTGCCGTCAATCCATTAACTTGCAAGAACCAATCCAGTCAGAGTCTCCTAAATTCAGAGACTCTTTAAGGAAGAGCATAGCTCTTTCTTCATCATGTCTCAGGAATCAGAATAGCCTGGCGCAGAGCATAAAATCCACGTGTCTTGCAGAGAGCCAACATATCAGATCATCTTTACGCGGAAGCAAGATATTCACAGGTTCTACAGAATCTCTAGCTGCAAGTCTGCGCAGAGGCTTGGATATCATTGACAATCCGCTGAACCTGGCATCAAAAAGATGCTCAGTTTCTTTGTCTTCTGATAACTTGACCATGCAACCTTCAACAGAGATACTGCTGGATGATAAATCTTTAACAGATGATCAACTACCTCTGTCGCCACTCTGTCCTTCCTGCAGAATTTGCAGCTCTAAAACATCAAGTTTAGTTGAGAGAGTAAGTATATCAAGTGATATAGCAGATAAAGTATGTTTTATAAGTTTTAGTTAAAGTTACAGCTATCCCGAAGCTAACAGTGTTGGATTATTGTGAATCAGGATGGATATCAGCATATGGAAGGGGTTGTTGAGAAGCAGCAGGAGCTTGAAAAGTTGTGCACAGAGCAAGCAGCCAAGATTGAACAGCTAACACGCCTGGTAACCCAATTTCTGTGTCTTATTTATGTCAATTGAAACTTGGATAAGCACATATGGTTAAGCAGTCTGGTTACTATATTATATCTTCTTTAGGTAGAGCAACACAAAATTCAAACTGAGAATGAAACAGAAGAACTTGTGGGAGCAAGTAATGGAGAACGATTTCCTTCTGCAAATGAAAACCAGGTTGGTTGTTGCTTTATTTACTCTGTGGACTATCTGCAGTGGAAAAAAAACTGAGAGGTTGTAACATGTATCCGAATTTCATGGTTCTGCAGCTTCTAAGCTGTAATGATGTTGTTGAGCGTGACCAAGCAGAAGTCATAACTGAAAAATATGAAGCAAAACAAATCCCCGATGACGACTCTAAAAAGACAGACTTTGATATTGGCGAGAAGGAGGCATTACTCAAAGAAATTGAAGATCTGAAAAGAAGATTGCAGACCCCTGTAACCATGTCCAGCAATGAACTGAGATCATCTCTGTTGGCTCGTTCGTTTCAACTCCGTAACAAGAATGCTGAAAAGGATATCGAGGAAGAAAGACTTAGGTGCACAGAAATGGAAAGCGAGTGGATATCATTGACCGACGAACTCAGAGTTGAGATTGAGAGTCAACGTACGCGCGCAGAGAAAGCTGAAGCACAGCTTAAACAAGAGAAACTATCTTCTGAGGAGTTAGAAGATGCACTTCGAAGAGCTGTTCTTGGTCATGCCAGGTTTGTTGAACACTACACAGAGCTACAAGAGAAATACAACGACTTAGGCTCAAAGCATAAAGCAACAGTGGAATGGATAACAGAGTTGAAGAAGGCAGTAGCAAAGGCTGGTAAAAAGGGTTGCGGTTCTCGTTTTGCTAAATCACTTGCTTCTGAGCTCTCAGCTCTGAGAGTAGAAAGAGAAAGAGAAAGGGATTTGTTAAAGAAGGAAAACGTAAGCCTCAAGATTCAACTAAGGAATACTGCTGAAGCTGTTCATACTGCTGGAGAAGTTCTTGTTAGACTCAGAGAAGCCGAACAATCAGCATCTGCTGCTGAGGTAAAACAAATTTTTCATATTTCAATCGATGAACTGTTGGAATGAGACTGTGGCATTGTTTTCTGACTCTTACGCTTCCCACAATGAAAATAATTGGTTGCAGGAAAAGTTCAATGAAGTAGAAGAAGAAAACGAGAAGCTAAAGAAGAAAATGGAAAAGCTGAAGAGGAGACACAAGTTGGAAGTGGTAACAATCAAAAAGAGTCTAAAGCAAAACACATTGCCAGAATCTGCATTGCAGCCACTAAATCAGAGGAACTCAGCTATTGAGGAAGGAATGTAGAAAACATTATACCAAAGTGCATAACTTGAAGACCCTTCTTGGATCTCATTGGTATATTACACACATCTTTATTCTGCTTCTAATAATAATCAAATGTCCTTATTCCACAAGGCATTTTGATTTTTTTTTTCCTCAATTGAATTATTTGTTCTGCTGTATTTTATTTGAGTCTCGTGTTTGTGGCGTGCAAACTGGTCTTTGTATAACTTTAACTTGGTAATTCATTTTATTTTTCTTACATTTAAAATTGGTATCTTTCTTTCCAAACTCCAATTCCTCTTTACAAGATATCTTTGTTCATCTTGTAATCCAAAAGAAATTTTATGGGAATCCTCTTTTGTCAAATCGACGGTGTCTTATACAAGATACTCTGTTTAACTTTTACTTTTTGTTAAAAATGTCAATTTGGTTCACCAAAAAAGAATACTCACGTTTTGTTATGTGGTAAGAAAATTGGAAAGTTTCCGTTTATATATAGAATATTTCTAGTTATGGTATATTTTCTATAGCTAAGGCAATAAATTTCTATCTTATGGAAACAAAAATATATGGACATATAAGAAAGGAAACTAGAATCATAAAAGCGAAGCTCGTATAATCTTAAGCTGTTCCAACGTATCATCTAAGTTGTGCTTTTAGGGAAAACAAGAATACAGCTCTGGATACCAAGAACAATGAAGGGTCCTCCATTGGTAAGAAATACTCTTGTGTTTTCTAATACTTGTTTCCCAAGATATTATCTATATTTTTCTTGATAGTCCTCTAATATTCCCTGTGTAACTTTATGAACAGACATGTGTGTTTGGTGTGAATATTGGACTCAAGGGTTATCAAAAGATGTTGAATAAAATATATGAGGGCATTGAAGGTAAAGAACTTTGAGTCTTGAAGATCTTCTTACTAATAACACAAGAGTTGCGAAGACTAACTAAAACTGTATACTTATTCTGAAACATGAAAGGTTTAAAGCTCGATGTGTCAAACTGGTTGGTGTATTTACGGGGCGAAATTGATCCTATAATCTTCATCAAGAAGCTGTATAAAGCGAGAAGTTACATTGAGCTCTTCCGAATAGATTATGGATATGAAGAGAATCCAGAAGGAACCCGGAGACCAAGTTCTCACTTCATGGTTTTATATATCTCACAACTTCTCTCCTTTCTCGCTACTTACAATTACTTATCAATGATTTAACATTTAAATCTGTGTGTTTTTGGCTTATGCAGAGATGTTGCTTTGAACTAAACACATCAGATATAAGTTGGTATAAGAGAATCATAGGAGCTTTGAAGACCATCCAAGGTTCAGAATTTTTCTCTAGATGATCATCAATCTTTGGACAAAAGTTTTAGGTTTTTTATTTTTTATTTTTTTGCATGTTTTGATTCGTGGGTTTGGTTTTCAGGTGTATCATTTACCATAGATGCACAACCAGTTATGGGATATCCGATGGCATATGTATGTGGAAATATAGAAATTGGAGTGCTCATGAGGATGCTTGTGAAGACAGGCATTGAACTATCAGCAATGGAATATGGAGTCGAGTATAAAGATGCAAACTTGAACCCACCTCCTCCCAAGAAACCTGAGGCTCCTTCAAATGTAACTGAGACACAGCCCGTGAAAGACACGGTGCCTCCTCCTCTTGAAGTTGTTAGTACATTAGCGAAACACCAAGTCATATACAAGAAGCCTCGCGGTTTTAGAAGGTTCTGTTGTTAATGAATGGGTTAATGAATCATGTCGTCATTAGCACCATGTATAGTATCACTGTTTTTGAAACCAAATAATCATGAGAAGAAGAACCATTCGAGAAAGAAAAAAAAACAAGAAAAATGAAAACAAAATCCCACTCCTCATATGTGTGTCTGTGTGTTATTAATCATGTTTACCTATTTGGTAAACCTTTGAGTGTTTTTCAAGAATCAGATAACAAATTTGCGTGCATCAGTATTTTCATATTGTTTTTTTTTTTTTTTAAGTTTTAGATAACTTCTCTTTCTGCGTTATGCATGTGTTTTTTTGTTCCTTGTTAATTCACTAAACCATCTCCATTAGTGTTTCTACACTAGAAACTTAATATTAAAATAATAACTAAAAAGAAAAAAAAGTAGGAGAGAGGGGAGGAAGAGTTTCTCAAATGAGTCTCTCAAAGTCTCTCTATCAAGATAAATCGATTTTAAAACGTGATTTAGTGATTTTAAAACGCAATTAAGGAGGATGATTGATTTGGAGAATTGGGTGGAATTATATAAGGTTGGGTGGAATTATGAAGAATATAATTTGTTCAGAAGAAAATAAGAAGAGGCTGAAAGTATGAGTGGAACCGAGTTAAAACGGTATATTAAAGGGTGACAGGGACAGACAGGCCTAGTTTTGTGTAAACCGAATATCCACTCGTCTTTCTCCTTGCCACCATATCGCATGAGTCATCAATTTGTAACGGTTGACTAAAATTGGTGAAATCAATGTTGGTTTCGGTTCAAAACGTAGAGTACATAATAATTTTAAATTTTTGATGAGTTGGGGTTGAAAAATACATTAACACTTTCTACATGTAAAAAAAGACATGGTACAAAACTTTGAGGTTGAAATACACCATTTTCTCATTGTAAATTAATCAACTATAATTTGTTTGGACTAGTAAAATACAAAGACTAATTGATGAGATTTTCATTTCCCCTTATAATAATGTTAGCGTGCTGCGTGCCATGGCCAAAAGCTTCGTTAATGCTCCCAACGTGCCCTGGCGTTACAACGAGAGTGAGCTGTTTTTCATTGTGTTACGTAGTTCAATTGCTTCAAAAATCAATAAATGTTATTGATTTTGTAATTTAATCAGTAACCCCGTGCCACATGATAATATTACAACTTACAACGAGAGTAAGCTGTTTTTCATTGTGTCTTACGTAATTCAATCGCTTCAAAAATCAATAAATGTAATTGATTTTGTAATTTAATCAGTAACCGTACCCCGTCCACTGCACTATAAATATGGTATCAACATTCCGACGTAAAAGGGATCAAACCAAAGCCAAATATGGAAAATCAAGCAGCTCTTGTTTACACTCTCATCTCAATCTTCATCTCTCTTCAATTCTTGTTTTGGAGATTTTTTTGGCCGCGTTACACTGCGGTTATGTCTTCGCGGAGACGACAGACCCGGCATCTTAATGTGCAAAGCCACACTCTGACTGCTGAAAGCTATGAATCAGAGTTCATGTCGTATATGATCCGTAAATCTAAATCGGTCAATGAGGTACTAGACGAGGCCGTTCCACTCTGCGAGCCAGTGCTGAAGATCCGTGAGGCCATGAGGTACACACTACTCTCGGGTGGCAAACGCGTAAGGCCAATGCTTTGCTTAGCTGCATGCGAGCTCGTGGGCGGGCAAGAGTCAACCGCAATGCCTTGTGCATGTGCGGTTGAGATGATCCATGCATCGTCGCTCATCCAAGACGATCTACCTTGTATGGACGACGACAACCTCCGGCGTGGAAAACCCACGAACCATAAAGTCTTTGGCGAAAACATAGCTATCTTGGCAGTTGATGCGCTCATAGCTTTGGCCATCAAGCACACCGTGGAATCCACCTCGTTGGACGTTCCTCCGGAGAGGGTTCTCCTGGCAATTCTAGAGATGGCGAGAGCGGTGGGAACGGAAGGACTCGTTGCGGGTCAAGCAGCTGATTTGGATGGGGAAGGCAAGAGCTTTGATAATGACACTGGATTAAAGCATCTTGAGTTTATACATATTCATAAAACGGCGGCGTTGCTTGAAGCGGCGGCTGTTATGGGAGCTATAATGGGAGGTGGGTCAGATGAAGAGATCGAGAGGATTCGAAGTTATGCGAGATGCATTGGGTTGATGTTTCAGGTGGTTGACGATGTGCTTGATGTGACCAAGTCGTCGGAAGAGCTAGGGAAAACCGCCGGTAAAGATTTGATCTCGGAAAAGCTGACGTATCCGAAGGTGATGGGAGTGGAGAAATCGAGAGAATATGCCGAGAAGTTGAACAGAGAAGCACGGGAACATCTTAACATGTTTGATCCAGACAAGGCTGCTCCTTTGTTGTTGCTCGCTGATTACATTGTCAACAGACAAAACTGACTTTTGTCAAATTGTTAATTGCTCGATGCAATCGATGTAGCCTTGTTTTTGTTTTTTTCTTTGACTTCAAGTAATCGATGTAGCCTAATTAATAAACCGAGCAAACCAAAGGCCCAATTTGAGTCAATGTAAACCATTCGAATTAATTCGGTACATTAAAATTCATTCTACCGGGTAACCGAAACGTCGTCTCTCCTTCAGTGTCTAGGGCTGGTCAAATCTGACGTGGCATATTTCAATCTGTTGTGTTGCTTGAATTGAATCTCCATTTCCGTCTTCGTTTCAAGCATTTCGTGCTGCTCTCTTGATAATTCGAAGGTTTTTGGTTATCTCCAGAAATGGGTTCTTCAGATACTGAAAGTGGAAGCAGAGGTTTTCAAAACCCAGATTGGGAAACAGAGTTTAATCGATTCGAAAATGCGATTTCGTCTGGTTCTGCTGCAATTCGTGTAAGATCCGTTTTAAAGTTATCAGCTTTGACGAATCGTGTACCCGAGAGATATATATCCCTTTCCATTCCGATTCTCGCCGGTCTTATTCGTGTCTCCGATGACTCCAATCGTTCCGTTCAAGCTGCCGCCGCGCATTGCTTGAAACGTATCGCCTGTTGCGGCGGTGAAGAAAACGGATTTGCGGTGACGATGGGGAGGTGTGGTGTGATTGCTAGCTTGTTAGGGTTGTTACTTGAGGCGAATACTAATGGTAATGTGTTTCGAAGGATTTGGGTGAAATGTTTGTGGAGTTTAGTTACTTTTGGATCTTCGATTCGAATTGGTTTGGCTAGGTTAGGTGGTTTAGAGATTGTGATTCGTGAGTTGAATAATTGGGAAGATGATGGAAGTAGATGGTATTTGTTAGAGATCCTTAGTGCTTTGACGACGATTAGAGAGAGCAGACGCGTTCTTGTTCATTCTGGAGGGCTTAAGTTTCTTGTAGAAGCTGCTAAAGTTGGGAACTTGGCATCCAGAGAGAGAGCTTGTCATGCTATCGGATTGATCGGTGTTACTAGACGAGCTCGGCGAATGTTAGTTGAAGCAGGAGTGATTCCAGCTCTTGTGGATCTATATCGTGATGGGTTTGATAAGGCAAAGCTTTTAGCTGGTAATGCCTTAGGGATCATATCTGCTCAGACCGAGTACATTAGGCCTGTCACTGAAGCTGGTTCCATTCCTTTGTATGTCGAGCTTCTCTCGGGACAAGACCCGATGGGGAAAGATATTGCAGAGGATGTGTTCTGTATATTAGCTGTAGCTGAGGGTAATGCTGTTTTGATAGCAGAACAACTGGTGAGGATCTTGAGAGAAGGGGATAACGACGCCAAGCTTGCAGCTTCTGATGTGTTATGGGATCTTGCGGGTTATAGGCATTCTGTGTCTGTTATTAGAGAGTCTGGCGCAATTCCTTTGCTAATCGAGCTTTTGAGAGATGGGACCCTTGAGTTCAGAGAGAGGATTTCTGGAGCTATTTCTCAGTTGAGTTACAATGAGAACGACCGTGAGGCCTTTTCTGATTCCGGTATGATACCGATTCTGATTGAATGGTTGGGGGATGAGTCAGAAGAGCTCAGGGATAACGCAGCTGAGGCACTTATTAATTTTTCTGAAGACCAAGAGCATTATGCTAGAGTACGTGAGGCAATTGGTCATCCTGTGTTTCAGAGTATGCAGAGCAGACTGGCTAGAATCCGAGCTTCCCATGAACTGATGGTTCGGTCAATGCGAAGGGTTACAATCGAACATCTTGCCCATAACCATGATCTTCCCTGATCTGATGGGCAAATTAAGCTTTTCCATCTGTTTTGATATATGTTTATAATCTGACTTGGAACAAAAAAAAAAGACTCAAATGTTGTTTGATTTCTGCAATTTGTCATTTGTATACATGTACTAAAAGGTTTAAACTTTGAATGGAAATGGAATCTATATCGTTAGTCTTCTTTTACATAACTAAGCACCCAGTAGTTGGACCATAAGAATCATGCACTATTCTATAAACCTCAGGCCTTGGCTGCTCATTGCTAACCACAGGACATTGAGCTATGCAGCAATGCGGTGTAACAGACTTCTCTTCGACCTGTGGCTTCTTCTGTGGCTTCTTCACTTCTTCAAGAGTCTCAAGAGTGACATGACATGCTTTCTTCCTCAAGGCCATAATCAAAGACGCTGCATCCACTCCATCTCCAACAACCACAAGCTCATCCTGAAATTCCCCTTCCATCGCCACTGAAGTTACACCTGCGTTGCCATATACAAATGTATAGAAGTTTCAAACTTTTACCAATAAAAAAACCACTCTCGATCGGTTCAAAACTTAAAATCTCTTTTGACACTAACCATTTGCAACAACTGCCACTTGCATTGCCTTCTTCCTGCATTTTTCACTGTTCACTGACAATTTGATACGCATCTTTTGCTGCAAAAATGCTCCAATAAAAAAATTAAAAGAAGAAACACATCAAGATCCAAAATGTACATGATTATCAAAATAAAATGAAGAGGCTTTTTAGCAACAAGAAAAATTAGCACCTTCATTGTCCTGACGAAGCTTTGTCTCTCTCAAAAGCGTTTGTTTTTGCAGAATCGAAGCCAAAAGTTCCTCAGATAGGAGTAAGAGGACCAAACCCTAAATTAGTCTCCTTTTTGCACGGATTTCAAAAGCTAAGAAGCTTCTACACACAGAGTTTCAGACTTCGCCAGAAAAAAACAGAGAGAGAGAAATTTCTTCTTGACCGATCAGACACCAACAACTGAAATGCCAATTTCTTGTCTCTTTTGTTCGGTCCTTTGATTCACTCCAACAAGAAGGAAAGAAGAAACAAATGGGAAGAGAAGAAGAAATTAAGTAGTTTTGTGAATGGGTTTCACTGTTACATGCTTTTTAACTTGATACACAAGGTCGCCCATTTCCCTGACAGATTTGCCAATGGTTCCAGTGTTTAAATTACCACTGTGCCATTGGGGTTTTTGTCTTCTTTGAAACATATATCTGTCCCAATAAGACTTTCTACCAATTAATTATAACAGACTTACGTCAATATTAGTAGTAATATAGGTTAACTTAGTTATATATATATATATATATATATATATATATATATATATATATATATATAAATTAATCAAATGCATCTTAATACTTAGGCTTATGATGATCTTTTCACAATTTAATTTAGTTTGTTTGATAATAGCTCAATTGTGAATTTGTGATTATCTCAAGTATCATCAACAATAATTAAGGATTGTGTATTAGGCCAAGATTTAGTTAGAACAAATGGGAAGCACCCTACCAAAAAAAAAAAGAACAAATGGGAAGCAAATGAAATGACAAATCACAACAACAAGGATTTGTATAACTAAAAACCAAAAAGAATCGAATGGCTACCCTAAGATCTCTCTATAATCTAAATAATTTTTTAGACAACACATAGGCAAACAAAAATCAAGTCTTGCATATTGACATTGTTGGGTTTTGTCTATTCTTGGTGGGTTTTGTTCTCTCTCTTCTGTTCATACGTTCTGTTCTCTTCTGTTTTTGGAAGGCAGGAAAGAGAAAGGAGAAGTTCTTTGGGATCGAAAAGAGGTAGAATTGTTCTTGAAGAATCGATCTATAGCGCGTGTTAGCTGCAATGCTAACTTGGGAGACCCCAGTTATGCTTGCAAGCAACACCGCCTCAACGAAAAAGCTTGCCTTCATTACCACCTTCCTCATCATTGTGTTATTCCCGGACACAATGGTTATGTCTCAGCCGCAGGCGGACGTTGTGCCACTGCCAGGCTCAGACGCAGATTGTCTCTTGAAATTCAAAGATACTTTGGTTAATGCATCGTTCATTAGCAGTTGGGATCCTTCCATCTCCCCGTGTAAGCGAAACTCGGAGAATTGGTTCGGCGTTCTCTGTGTTACCGGTAATGTTTGGGGCCTACAACTCGAAGGAATGGGGTTAACCGGAAAGCTAGACCTTGAACCATTAGCTCCGATCAAGAATCTACGAACCTTAAGCTTCATGAACAATAAATTTAACGGTTCAATGCCATCTGTCAAGAATCTCGGTGCGTTGAAGTCATTGTACTTGTCTAACAACCGGTTTACAGGGGAGATACCCGCCGATGCGTTTGATGGTATGCATCATTTGAAGAAGCTTCTGTTGGCTAACAACGCATTTCGGGGGAACATCCCTTCTTCTTTAGCTTCTTTGCCAATGCTTTTAGAGTTGAGGGTAAATGGGAATCAGTTTCATGGGCAAATACCTGATTTTAAACAGAAGGATCTTAAGTTGGCTAGCTTCGAAAACAATGACCTCGAGGGACCTATACCGGGAAGCCTTAGCAATATGGATCCTGGCTCCTTTTCAGGTAACTAAACGAAGAGTTCAACATCTTCTGCAAATGTTTGGTAACTATAGGAGTTCTTATGTAAAAACAGAATCTTTCTTGCTTTCTTGAACATTGCAGGGAACAAGAACTTGTGTGGACCTCCACTAAGCCCATGTTCGAGTGATTCGGGATCTTCTCCGGATCTCCCTTCTAGTCCCACGGAGAAGAACAAGAACCAATCTTTCTTCACCATTGCTATTGTTCTGATTGTTATTGGGATAATACTGATGATCATTTCGCTTGTGGTCTGTATCCTTGATACCAGAAAACGGAAATCTTTGTCGGCCTATCCATCCGCGGGTCAGGACAGGACAGAGAAATACAATTACGATCAATCCACGGACAAGGACAAAGCCGCAGATTCTGTCACGAGTTACACTAGTAGGAGGGGAGCAGTACCAGATCAGAATAAACTCTTGTTTTTGCAAGATGACATTCAGAGATTTGACCTTCAAGATCTTCTTAGAGCCTCTGCTGAAGTTCTTGGGAGTGGAAGCTTTGGTGCTTCTTATAAAACTGGGATAAATAGCGGACAGACGCTGGTCGTGAAGAGGTATAAACATATGAACAATGTCGGAAGAGAGGAGTTTCATGACCATATGAGACGGTTAGGGAGATTGAACCATCCAAATCTGTTGCCTATTGTGGCTTACTATTACCGCAGAGAAGAGAAGCTCTTGATCGCTGAGTTCATGCCAAATCGTAGCTTGGCAAGCCATCTTCACGGTATGTAACATTCAATTCTTTTGTTGATTAAAATGGTAACTTTATCAGTTTTGACGCGAAAAAAGCTCTGTTTCAGCGAATCATTCTGTTGATCAACCTGGATTGGATTGGCCAACAAGGGTAAAGATTATACAAGGAGTGGCTAAGGGTTTAGGTTACTTGTTCAACGAGCTAACAACCCTAACAATCCCTCACGGTCATCTCAAGTCATCGAACGTTGTATTGGACGAATCATTCGAGCCTCTCTTAACCGATTATGCACTAAGACCGGTGATGAACTCAGAGCAGTCTCACAATCTAATGATCTCATATAAATCACCAGAGTATAGCTTAAAGGGACATCTAACAAAAAAGACAGATGTTTGGTGCCTCGGGGTTTTGATCTTGGAGCTATTAACAGGTAGGTTTCCGGAGAATTATCTAAGCCAAGGGTACGATGCTAACATGAGCCTCGTAACTTGGGTCAGCAACATGGTTAAGGAGAAGAAAACGGGTGACGTGTTTGACAAGGAAATGACTGGGAAGAAGAACTGCAAAGCAGAGATGCTAAACCTTTTGAAAATCGGGTTGAGTTGTTGCGAAGAAGATGAAGAAAGGAGGATGGAGATGAGAGATGCTGTGGAGAAGATAGAGAGGTTAAAGGAAGGAGAATTTGACAATGATTTCGCATCGACGACAAATAATGTCTTCGCTTCTCGGTTGATAGATGACGATGACTTTGGTTTCGCCATGAATCGATGATGAGTTGATTGATATGATCAGTCTTCTTCAGAAGAATGGAAAAGCTAAACAATTTGTAATCTTGATGCCAAAAGAGAATGGATTTTCTGTTTGTTCTTTGTTATGTAACTTTTTCCATCCTTAAATCACTCTCTTCGTGTAATTGTAAATCCATTTTGCAGAGTTTTGAAAGTTTACTCATTTCTTCATCTGATTATCACATTTCTCATATCACAAAGTACAAGAATCGAATCCATGCGTAGTAACAACTAACAACATCACTTGAGATCGAAATACTCGAATTTCATTGTACGTGGATACAAAGTTTCGAACTTCAAAAAAAAAGTTGGAACTTTTTTCTCAAAAATTGTATTAGGGCTAATTAAAAATTGAATTTTGAGGATAAAACTAAATTACTATGGCGGAGAATTCGCGACTACGAGAGCTACGGAGACACAGATGATGAAAGAGAGAGAGAGAGGCCGGAATTATCCATTGTTGTTCTTCAGTTTACCACTGAATCGAAATTTCTAATTTGGGGAAAGAGGATTTCTTGAAAGCCCTAATTTTGGAATACCGCAGATTTCTTTAGTATTGAGAATGAGATTTTCCAAGAAGACAGAGGCAAAGATTGTTCTAGTGAATCGAGAGATTGATATCGTTAAATGCGGGGATTTGCAATCTAGGGTTCTAAAGCTTTGTAATCGATGAAGGCCCAGAAGGGAAGCTCGAAGAAGAAAAGTGCGAATTCTGGGTTAGTCGCTGTAGCAGTTGATAATAACAAAGGAAGCCAACATGCTCTCAAATGGGCTGCTGATCATCTTGTCTCTAAAGGACAAACCATTATCCTCCTCCATGTTATCCTTAGATCACCCTCTGATTCAGGTCTGAGCTTTTGTGTTTATGTAATAATGCTCTACTTATCACAAAACCTGTTCTTGTTGTTCTGAGTTTTTGGATTCTGGAGAGACATGAATGTTGTGGTGCTATGGGTTTGTTTGCAGGTGAGATTACTGCAGAAAAACATAAGCAAGCTGAGAATCTTTTCGTGACGTTTCATTGCTACTGCAGTCGAAAAGAGGTAAAACCACGCCAGATAAGATCGCTTGTCCTCGCTTGATTTGTTTCTAATGTGCACACCTATGTTATAGTAAAGCTTCTGGTAATTTGAATGCATTGTTCTTTACTCTCTGTTGGTTGCTAGATACAATGCCTTGATGTCACGCTTGAGGATGACAACATTGTCAAGTCCCTTGCTGAATATGTTTCCTCTGGCGTGATTGAGAATTTGGTTCTTGGTGCCCCTTCCAGGCATGGATTCATGAGGTAGTATTATGAATCTTTTCCCTTCTATCAGTTTGAATTCTCTTTCTAGTTTCTTCCTTATGTGTTTCTTTGATTCAATCTGTTTACAGGAAATTTAAGATTTCTGATACACCGAGCAATGTAGCGAAAGCAGCACCTGATTTCTGTACAGTTTACGTTATTTCAAAAGGGAAGATATCATCTGTCCGCTATGCCTCACGAGCTGCCCCATATCGGTCTCCGCTTATGGGTCAGATTGAAAACCACTCTGAAATCATTAACTACGAAAAGTTCAAAAACACCATGAGCTTTAGAGGTAAAATCATTAACTAGTTTTTTGAGGCTTAACCATGTGACACCACATACATCTTGAAATTGTTCTTTCGTTGGTACACACAGATAGGGCTCCGGCCAGGTCTTCGACTGCTAGCTCCATTGAAGATTATGGAAAGTAATGTTTCAGGGGAATCTTTTTCTTCTTTGACAAAATACTGATACGTTTTGAAGGAAGATACTTATCGTTCTTTCTTTCGCGGTAATATTGTCAACAGGTCACCTATGGCAAGGACATCAAATTATGCAAACTCATTCTTTGAGTTGGAAGACTCCGAAAACGACATATCATTTGTTTGCTCAGGCAGGCCAAGTACCACAAGCTCAGGCCGGCCAAGTACAAGTACCGGAAGGTCTGACATATCTTTTGTGAGCTCAGGCAGGCCGAGTACAAGCACCACCGGAAGCCCTTCCTTCATCTACGATTTTCCTGATTCTGGTTTAACTCCGAGAAAGTCGACGAGCTCTGGACACTCTATGCGTCTAGGAATCAGGTTCAATGACACCAATATCCAACATGATTTCTCATTCGTCTCACAAGATAGCGGTCGGTCATCTTGTTCTTGTTCACCACAAAACTTGGTAAGATGTGTTTGATTGGTTATAGACAGCAATATATGTTTTCGGGAATGGTTGCTCTATATATTTTCTTGAAATGTTCAGGAAGAAGTGGAAGCTGAGATGCGGAGATTGAAGCAGGAACTGAAACACGCAATTGACATGTATGGATCAGCTTGCAGAGAAGCACTAGCTGCAAAGCAAGAGGTAAAACGATATAAAACGAAACCCATCCCTGTGTGTATATATTCTTGTACAGTGTTGACTGAATTTTTTTTTACTTTTGGATCAAAGGCGAAGGAGCTCCAACGTCAGAAAATTGAAGAGGAAGGATGGGTGCAAGAAGGACAGTTATCAGAGAAATCTACAAAGTCCATAGTGGAAAAAGAGAGAGCACACAAAGCTGCCATGGAGGCTTCTGAAACAGCAGGCAAGATAGCAGATCTCGAAACACAAAGAAGAGCCATAGAAGCTGCAGGCTCTTTCTCTGATTCCAGTTTAAGGTATCGAAGGTATGTTATTGGTGAGATTGAAGAAGCCACAAACTCATTCGACAAGGCTAATAAAATAGGCGAAGGCGGGTATGGTCCTGTCTATAAGGGTTATCTTGATCATACCCCTGTTGCTATCAAGGTTTTGAGAGCAGATGCAGTTCAAGGAAGATCTCAATTTCAAAGAGAGGTAAGTTGACCTAAAATCCTATACTTCTCAAATTTAAATATAAATCAAACTTTAATTAAAATGTGGACCAACTATTGAGCATTGTTACAGGTAGAAGTTCTTAGCTGCATAAGACATCCACATATGGTGCTACTTATTGGTGCATGTCCAGAGTATGGAGTGCTTGTTTATGAGTATATGGCCAAAGGTAGTTTAGCTGATAGGCTCTACAAGTATGGAAACACGCCACCGCTCTCGTGGGAGCTCAGGTTCCGAATTGCAGCCGAAGTTGCGACGGGTCTGCTCTTCCTTCACCAGACAAAACCCGAGCCTATAGTGCACCGTGATCTGAAACCTGGAAACATTTTGATTGACCAGAACTACGTAAGCAAAATAGGGGATGTTGGATTAGCTAAACTGGTGCCTGCAGTTGCTGAAAACGTCACGCAGTGCCACGTGTCATCAACCGCTGGGACATTCTGTTACATTGACCCTGAGTACCAACAAACTGGAATGCTCGGTGTGAAATCTGATGTATACTCTTTCGGTATCTTGCTTCTCGAACTGCTCACAGCGAAAAGGCCGACGGGTTTGGCTTATACCGTTGAGCAAGCGATGGAGCAAGGGAAATTCAAGGACATGTTAGACCCAGCAGTGCCTAACTGGCCGGTGGAAGAAGCTTTGTCTCTAGCAAAGATTGCACTTAAATGTGCACAGCTGAGAAGGAAAGACAGACCAGACCTCGGAAAAGAGGTTTTACCAGAGCTACATAGACTGAGAGCTCGTGCAGATACGAATATGGAATGGATGATGTTCAACTTAAGCAGAGGTCGTCTAACACCAAATCATAGCCAAGTTTCCTTGCCACCAGTTGTAAGTATTGAAAAAGCTCTTAGCAATATCCACATTTCGTTTAATTATCTCTTCTCGTCTTAAAGTTAAAATCTTTGAAATGCAGGATGAACTAAGTGTATGCTCGGATAGCTCTTATACACATTCAAGCACTTTATCCGACACAGAGAAGAACTCAGGTGCATTAAAGAATCCTCTATTTTCCAACAAATTCTTCTATAACATTTTTAACATGTGTTTGATACCTCAAATCTCACATTTTACTCTGTTTGTTTTCCAGACCAAAACGAAGAGGATTAGTGTATTCTTGTCTATTTTGAAGGAGATGGATGGAGTGAGGCCATTCTTGTCTTTTTTTAGTTTGGTTAAGCTTATGTAATTGTGAATATTGACCCTTGTATAGTTGTATGTATAAAATTCGTAAATGAAGAAAAAAAATGAAGGAAAAAGTTGAGTAGGTTTGTTATAATATCTCTGCAAAGACGCAAACTCTTTTGTAATATGTAAGACAAAAATCTAGACCACATAATTCGCACTCTAATTCTAATAAACTTCTAAATTGAGAAATTGGTTCATTGATTTCAGTGGAAAGTGGTACTTAGCTAAATTGAGAAAAGTGCCGTAATTTCAGGTAGAACCTGACGCATAATTTCGCGATCGTTCATGACTCAAATTGGTTTATTCACTCAAATAAAAAGTTGTTTCCATATCTAGCTGAAGTTCTCAATTCATACGCATCTTCTTACTTTTTAATTTATACTAGAATGAATTTTTCGTCAATCCTCCACTTAAATATTTGGTAATAAAGTCCAAAAATTATAGTAATATTATTTAGTTAAATCATAATAATAATAGTTATTTCTGCTAAATATATCAGTTTAAAATTGGTAAATACGTATATCAGTCATCATTACTTTATATATATAACTTTAAATAATTTGAACGCTATTGTCTATATCTCGTCCAAATGTAAACTTCATTATTCTTTTGATTTTATTGCTGGTTACTTTTAAAATCTTCACAAACTCTTTTATCATTCTCTTTTATGTGTGGATTCTCATATTTTTCCACCAAAATCTACTGAAAAATAATAGTTTGTAATTTTCTGTAAAATCTTCAAAATTAATTTGGTAAAAGAAAAATCATTTAAAATCAATTTGCATTAGCTGGATTTATTTCCAAAGGTGTGGTATAGTGTTTATGCGGAGTTGTTGGCTAGTAATAATGAGAAAAGGAGTGTAACATATGTAATATAATGTATATGTAGTTTTGTTTCTGTATTAACTAATCACTAATTGAATTATCAGAAGTTGAATTATCAGAAGTTGGTGACAAGAGTCTACCAAAGAAAAAGTTGGTCACAAGAAAATTAAAATAATGAGAGTAAAACTAGGAAAAAAATAAGAAGCTAGCAAACAAAGCAATTAACATTTCAAGGCAGTTAGTTCATCATGCAAGGTGCTTATGTGTGACAACGTCATGCGTTACTTTTTGCGTCTACACTCATCTCTCAAACGCAAACCACTAATTCTAATGGATTCTGCTATTTAATCCAGCCATTTTCTTCATCTCAATCATCATCACACAAAAACATTTTCTTCAAAGTTGTTTATATAAACAATGTCTAGTCTTGGTCACTTTCAGATCCTTGTTTTTCTTCATGCTTTGCTTATATTCTCAGCTGAATCTCGCAAAACCCATTTGGTGAACGATAATGATGTTGAATCTAGCGACAAGAGTGCAAAAGGCACGCGATGGGCTGTTTTAGTTGCTGGATCAAATGATTATTCTAACTACAGGCATCAGGTTTTTAGAATTTGTTTGAACATTTAACAGTATAAGGTCTAGGGAGACATTAATTTGTATGAGCTAAATCGACCTATTTTTTGTTTCACAGGCTGATATATGCCATGCGTATCAGATACTCCGAAAAGGCGGTCTAAAAGATGAAAACATCATTGTCTTTATGTATGATGATATCGCGTTTTCCTCGGAGAATCCTAGGCCTGGAGTTATCATCAATAAACCAGATGGAGAAGATGTTTATAAAGGAGTTCCTAAGGTTTCTTATTTTTACTTCCTTTGTGCATTTGTATGTTTGAATCCATATATATTCAAGTTTTGTTATTGGTTGGTAGGACTACACTGAAGAAACTGTTAATGTTGAAAACTTCTATAATGTGCTACTTGGAAATGAAAGTGGTGTCACAGGAGGAAGTGGCAAAGTTGTGAAAAGTGGTCCTAATGATAACATCTTCATCTACTATGCTGATCATGGAGCTCCTGGCTTACTAGGTTTTCTTAGATTAATGAAATTACCATCAATCCATATATCTATAATATAAGATTTGGTCTTGATACTACTAATCCGATCCGCGATTTTCTCAGCGATGCCCACTGGTGATGAGGTCCTTGCAAAAGATTTTAATAAAGTCTTGGAGAAGATGCATAAGCGAAAAAGCTACAACAAGATGGTAGGATATATAACTCAACCATTCGTAACCTAGCTTTATATATGTGTTCTGTTTTTTGAATCTTTGAGGTCTTTTTTGGATGTTAGGTGATCTATGTTGAAGCATGTGAATCTGGAAGTATGTTTGAAGGGATTTTAAAGAAAAATCTCAATATATACGCAGTGACTGCTGCTAATTCGAAAGAGAACAGCTTTGGAACTTACTGCCCTGAGTCGTATACTCCTTCTGCTCCTGAGTTTGAAACTTGTCTCGGCGATGTATTTAGCATCTCTTGGCTTGAGGACAGGTACTGCAAACAAAAAGATTCAATCTTTATAGACTATTCGAATGATTTGATATGTTCTTGAAGAGTTTGAAAATCACTTTTCTTGGTCAATTTTTCTCTGTTTGTGTTTTTGGGGACAGTGACCTTCATGACATGAGCAAGGAGACTTTGAAGCAGCAATATCACGTTGTAAAGAGAAGAGTAGGATCTGATGTAGAACAGACTTCTCATGTATGCCGTTTCGGGACCAAGGAGATGCTTAATGATTATCTTGCCTCTTACATTGGAAGAAATCCTGAAAACGAAAACTTCACTTTCACTGAATCCATTTCCTCACCAATCTCTAATTCTGGCTTGGTCAATCCGCGCGATATCCCTCTGTTATATCTCCAGAGAAAGGTGAGTTTTTTTTCCGACTTTTTCGATCATTTTAAATGAAAAAGTTTTCAGGTTTTAATGTTTATTCCTCTCCTCTCTCAGATTCAAAAAGCTCCAGTGGGATCACCTGAAAGCAAAGAAGCTCAGAAGAAATTGTTTGACGAAATGAATCATAGGAAACAAATCGATCAGAGCATTACAGAGATTCTGCGACTTTCGGTTAAACAAACCAATGTCTTAAATCTCCTAACTTCCACAAGAACAACAGGACAGCCTCTAGTAGACGATTGGGATTGTTTCAAGACTCTGGTAACAAACCACATCCCAAATCTTGTTACTTGTGTTCTACGCATCATTACTAAACCAGTATACATCTAATGCAAATCGCAGGTTAATAGCTTCAAGAATCACTGCGGTGCAACAGTGAATTACGGATTGAAGTATACAGGAGCGCTTGCCAATATCTGCAATATGGGAGTGGATGTGAAGCAAACTGTTTCAGCCATTGAACAAGCTTGTTCAGTTAAATGATTTGCAAAAAAATGTGATTGACTTTTAAAATATCAAAGTTATTTCAATAAAACTCGATGTAGAGATGGTTGATTAGACTATTTTTACATGAAAAGATTTTTAATTAATCGATGATAACGCGAAAGTCTTGGTCTTAATTTGTGAATTGGATTCATGGAACAATAACCTCGTACCAACTGTACGGTACGGATGGCTGTACTTTGGTTGAGTTGTCCAATAATAGTCTTCTTCCAATAACTTGTTGACCACGAAAACAATAGACATATAAAAGGCAGACAGATCATTTAAATCAAACAAGGAAAATAAGAAACAAGAACAACTAGGGTTTCGTTAACCTAGCTTGTTTTTTATTTTTATGTTCTATGAAGATAACAACTTTCATCATAAGATCTTTATCATTGTTATCTATGATCTATCAAATGCAAAGTCTTTTGACATTGATAGATATATAAATGATACCTTTTGAACTTTTCTCAAGACACCATTCCGTTTGATTTTTTGCTATCTTTCTTTCTATTCAACAAAATGATTTCGCTAAGTTTCATCGTTCGTCTAGCAAACCAGGAGAACAGACGAAACAGAAGGTACGAAACTAACATTAAGGATCGTCTTATCTCGGGGGAGTTATCGGACGGTAGCAGACCAGCCAGAGATCAAAACGATGTCCCGAGAGGGCATCTTGCGGTCTATGTGGGACGCGAAGAGAGGCAAAGGTTTGTGATACCGACCAAGTATCTTCAATATCCTGAATTTAGGACTTTGATGGATGAAGTAGCGGACGAGTTTGGGTACGATCATGAAGGAGGGATTCATATTCCTTGTGAAGAAAGTGTTTTTGAAGAGATTTTGATTAGATACATGTCTTGTGACAAGAAGAAATAAGTGTACATACAATACAAATATATAAATCATTTTTAAAATATTTCTTCTTCTTCTTCGTATTCTTTCTCCTCATTGGCATTTCATCGAACACCTAGTGAGCAACACTGTGTTCTTGAACCATTATCCTCTGCGCTGCATAGGCATCAAAACAAGACATAGACCTTTCTAGGTAATGCAAATGCTAAGTCATTTGTTCTAAGAGTGAATCAAGGAACAAAAATAATGCCGTGTTCCTTAATCGTATCGATTACAATCCCTAGCTTCCCTTCAATTCTTTCTCCCTTTCTTGGCTCATAAGACACAGCATAGACGTCTGCTTCCATTGAACGCTCAGCTATGAGCTTACCAATGAGTCTACACGCTTCGTTATCAACAAGAGACGGTATATTAGTCCTTATATCTCTTGCATTTGTTGTGGCAACCGAAATGACTTTGCTTGTTGGCCTATGCATCACTTTGGCGTGTATGAACTTCCTGGAGAAGAAAACATTCAAAAGGAAAGGCCTCATGTACATGTCTGTTCTCTGTTTCCATGACTTCCTGTTGGGTCTTTTCGCTGCTTCACCACGTGATCTTCGAGTCCACGCAGCTTGCACAAAAGAATCCTAAAACAATCCATCACAAAAAAACACTTGAAAAGAAAAATTTGGTGGGAACTTTCAATAGCAAAAAGAATTCTTCTTGATGGTAATTGGAAGACTAAGACAAAAGGGAAGTCTGAATCTTGAATTACTCAACAAATAAAGAGATAAACTTTGAAGAGTATTATCACTCTCAAAAGCCTAAATGGAAAATTGAATTTCCGTGAGAAGAAACACAAATCAAGAAAACACACATTCTAATTCACATTAAGAGCTTCTAGTTTCATATTCAAGTAAAGATTCACTAGAACCCTAGATTTTTACATTAAAACCACAAATTACAAATTGCCTAAATCTGAACAACGAGCTCAAACAAACAAGAACACACACTAAGCTACAAAATCAGACAAGCACAAAACTATACGAGCAAGAGGAATTACGAAACTATCTTAGAGATTGTGCACAGATAACGAAAGTAGATGGCTTTACCTTTTTGACAATGGGAGATGAGATAACAGAGCCGATTTCGATGGAAAGTTTGGGAAATGAAGATTGCCATGAAATTGACGAGCCCAGTTTCGTTAAACGACTTGACCGAGAAAGGTTCGAGTCGAATGGGACGAGTGAGCAAGTTGGTGAGACCAAGCAAGACATGTTCGTCGAGCTTCAAGAGTGAGAAAGCAAGCTCTTGGAGTGGAGAAGGTAAATTGATCGGATAGGGCTCGGCGGCTAAACCCCGAACCGGCTGATTTGAGAGGTCAAACTCGGTTATTCAAAAACCGGATAAAATTGGTGAACCAGATCGAATCGTCAACCCCAAAACTTACGAACAAAAGAAAGATATTTTCGAAAAATAAAGGGGCACAATAAGCGTTTTGATTCCACAAGTGGGGTTGAAAAATAAATACTAGAAAATTATTAAAAACAAATAAAAATTGGGAGAAACACATAAACCCTAAAAAGCTTAAATCTTCCCATAAATTATTAGTTTATACTCTTCTAGGTCTGTTCACAATCTTTGTTTTTTTTTTGTTTTCTAATTATGTTTAATTGAATATTCTTTCTTCTCTGTTGCCCTTTTTTGAATCTCCTGTTCTGTCTCTGATAAAATCTTTGAAAGAACAAACGGAGACAGAGAGTGAGAAAATGGCAATGGTTGTTCCAAAAGAAGGGCTTGTGGTTATGGAGAAGGAATCTCTTTCTTCAGCTTCATCGGATTCTCATCTTCGTCTCCAACCTCACTTTCCTGACTTCACGATTCCTGTTAAAGTCAGTTCCTTTGTTTTGTTCTTTCTGGTTCTGTCTCTCTGCTTCTTATGAGTATATTTGAATTTTTAGAGTTTTAACAATCTGGATTATGTTTTGGTAATGGTATTTTGTGGTTTGGATATGACTGAGAGAAGGGTCTGTTGGTAATCTCTATTGGGAACCATTGTGTGAATATTTCTCTCTGTTGTGTTTGATTCAGGATTTCTTCAAGTCTAGGGAAGCCCGTGAGTTTCTTAGTGGGGCTTTAGCTGGAGCTATGACCAAAGCTGTTCTTGCTCCACTTGAGACTATAAGGTCTGTATAGTCCCTCCTTGTAATCTCCTCAATGTAATCTAAAATTTTACTAGATTGCATTGTGTTGTGTGAATTCTGGCAGGACAAGAATGATTGTTGGTGTTGGATCGAGAAGCATTCCAGGTAGTTTTCTGGAAGTTGTACAGAAGCAAGGGTGGCAAGGTCTTTGGGCTGGCAACGAAATCAATATGATTCGAATCATTCCAACTCAAGCAATTGAGTTGGGGACATTTGAATGGGTAAAACGCGCAATGACATCAGCTCAAGTGAAGTTGAAGAAGATTGAAGACGCCAAGATTGAAATCGGTGATTTTAGTTTCAGTCCGTCCATATCGTGGATCTCTCCTGTTGCGGTGGCTGGTGCATCTGCTGGTATTGCTAGTACGCTTGTTTGCCATCCTCTCGAAGTTCTCAAGGTAATGTATTACTCAATCAAAGTCTGTTGCATAATGCAATATTGAAATCTTTTTTGTCTTTAGAGTTGAAAGAGACTGATGTTCTCTGATCTTTACCAGGATAGATTGACTGTGAGCCCTGAGATTTATCCAAGCTTAACCCTTGCAATTCCAAGGATTTTCAGAGACGATGGAATCCGTGGATTTTACGCTGGCTTAGGACCAACACTGGTCGGGATGCTTCCATACAGCACATGTTATTACTTCATGTATGACAAAATGAAGACGTCATACTGCAAATCCAAGAACAAAAAGGCTTTAAGCCGTCCAGAGATGCTTGTTCTTGGAGCTTTAGCGGGTAAACAAATAAATAAAAACTTCCTTTTGCGGTATTTCCTTACTTAATCATGTTAAAGACTCATCAAGTTATGACTGGGGTCAGGTCTAACGGCGAGCACCATAAGCTTTCCGTTGGAAGTCGCGCGGAAGCGGTTGATGGTTGGAGCTCTGAAGGGGCAATGCCCACCGAACATGGCTGCAGCAATTGCAGAAGTAGTGAAGAAAGAAGGAGTGATGGGACTCTACAGAGGATGGGGAGCAAGTTGTTTGAAAGTCATGCCGTCTTCAGGCATCACTTGGGTCTTCTATGAAGCCTGGAAAGACATTTTGCTTGCAGCCAACACCAAACCACTCATATAATGACGAAATTGTAACCTAAGTTATCATTGTTAGTTAAAGCTAAGCCTCTCATCACATTTCAAAGTTATGATTCAGGGAATGCGGTGACTTGGTTTTTCCCCATGAGATGTTTTTTTGGCACTTGGGAGTGTTTTGGTTCCCATGAGAAGTAAGAAGCTGAGTTCTTTTTTTGTCGAGGCTAATTCTCTGTGTTCTTCTCGTTCAATAGAAAAGGATGAAGAAAAGTAATAAGCAAATCAAATTATTAACCACAGATCATGTCCACATCATATACATATTGTTATACCATCACACTTCTATTCATAGATACAAGCATATATACATAAGCACTTTCAAATATATATTTGTCTAAGTCAAACATTGTCCAAATCTGCAACCCAAAAGAAAATCTTCTGCCTAACCTTCTGTTCCCTCTTCTGAGACTTCACTCTCTGTAACAATAACATATCAGAACGTTCTGATTTCTTTAGTACAGAGTCATATTGACTGCTCAAGTTTTAGTTTTAGAGGAAAGTACCTTCACCAAACAGTTGTTCGAATCGGGCTACTATGTGTTTCCCGTATGTGTACTTCCGCAAACTCTGGAGATGAATTTTCATCCTCTGCACCAGAATCTCCCTTTGCTGATCTTTACTGATCTCCAAGACTTTCTGGACCACGTAATTTGCAAACTGATCCTTCATCATCGCCTGCAGAAGAAAAAAGAGTGTTAAATAAGTCCAATGAGGTTTCAGAGAGCTTTCTTTAGGATTGTGTTCTTACTAGCAAGTGATTGTCTTCCTCGGATTTGCCCATTATCTCTTCAATCAGGAACTCTCTCTCGGTACTATCAGCGTGTTCCAGACACTTCTCCACAACGTTAGAAGCGTATTTGTGCTGACTCATCTGAACAACATTCCCAGTCAACTTCTCAATGATCTGTCTCCTTTCGTCGGGCTTCCCTCTCTCCAGGACATGCTACAAGAAAAACATAAGCCAAAGCACAAGATTAAGAAAAAAAGAATTCAAGAAAATGCCAAGAGAGACAATGGATCCGCGATTAACCAGACCTGAGTGACATAATTCCCATACTGATCATGAGCAAGAGCAAACGCAGATTCCAATATTTCATCGATTATACAATGAGTCTCCTCATCATCTGAACAATGCTCCAAGATTCTCTATAAGAAAGCAGACAGGAAAAGAATGAATATTTCAAGTTCAAAGCACAAGAGGAGACAAAGCTCGCTCTATTCCATTTACCTGGATAACTCGGCATCCATAAGGGTGGGTAGAAAGAGTGGCGACTTGACCACGGAAAGCAGCAATTACGAATCCAATCCTACCGGCAGGCATACTCTCGATACACTTTTGGATAACATGATTTCCGTTTTGATCTCTAACACACTTCAGCACATTTCCATCGAGCTCACGAATTAGTTCTGTCTTTTGGTCAACATCTATCACTTCAAGGGCCTATAAATATCACAAGGCACAAACAAGCACATGGAAACTTAACTACAATTTACATCAAGAATCAAGATACTGACATTGATATAAGGAAAGTAATATTAATAAATTTACCTTTTGTATCACACGACATCCATACATTTGTAAGCTTAGTGAAACCATCTGACCAGCAAGTTGCTTCACAAGTTCTTCTCTCTGTGCCGGAGTTCCATGTTCTATGAACTGATCCAAAAATCACAATGTATTTTATAGACAATTCTCAGCTTAGGAAAAAAGAAGAAGAAAAAGTGGCTCACTTTTTGGATGACATAATTTCCAAATACGTCAGTCATCAATTTTGAAGCTTGTGGAAGAACCTCACTGAAAACTGATGCCTTCTCCTCATCGGAGCAATGCTCCAACTTCTGTTGAATAAACCGGCTGCCATGCTGATCGACGCTGAAGTTCAGAAAAATGAGTAGTAAAATAAGATTAACATGACATCATTTCTTTTGAAACTTTCAAAATACTTCTTCAGAATTAAAGAAAATGATAGATTTCGGAGCAGAAACACTGCCTGAATTCAACAACGCGCCCTGCAATATCAGACAGCTCGAGTTTCCGAGCGTTTGGAGACTTGAGTTCATCAAGAAAAGAATGTCTTTTTAGATCATCAACGATGCTGCTGGCTCCTCCTCTGTTCCCTTGCCATCCACCAGGGTAGATCCCAGTGTTTCTACTTGGCCCTTGTTGATGATACCTTGTTTCACTTCGTCTTCCAAAGTGGCTCATCATTCCACCAACCGGTGAGGAAGGCATCACCGGACTAGCAAGAGGTGATCCTGGATACTGCGGCATGACTCTTACACCAGGTGGCACTGCAAAATAATTCCCCATGTGCCGCGGACTTTGCATCCCGTAACTCGGACTCAATGGACTGTTGAGAGGTTCATGATTTGCCATATAGCCAGCAGCTTGTTGGTCTTTCTGTCCAAAAGAATCAGTGCTGCTCTGAAACGGAGGAGCATATGCGTCCACTTGAGCCTGTTGAAAATATTGCAACTGAAAAGGATCCACAAGCGAAGGAATGTTTTGTCCACTCGATGATACTCCAGGTAGCAGCCGAGTGTTGTTGTAGCCCAAAGAAGTAGATGAGATATCATATGGCATAGGAACAGTTGCTTCATGCGATGGGTATCCACTCATATATTGAGGGACAATACCAGAACCAGGAGGATAACTGCCATAATTATATTGCGGGAGGTACATACCCGAGGACTGAAAATTTTGATGGTAAAATGGGCTCAGAGATGTCATATATGCTGCTGTAGATGTATACATGGGAGGCGGTGCCAAACCGTGAGGAGATTGGAAAGTCGAATGTACCTCGCCAGTTGCAATCTTTGGTAAGCTCTGCATCATGTCCTGTGTACCGCCCATCCTCGGATAGGTCATTTGTTGTGGTGAACTAGCCTGAACCTGATACGATGAAGGTGTGTATTGCAGAGGCATTCTCCTTCCCTGAGATTGTTGGTCTTCTTGGTTCCTCCTCATTCTTGAAGCAACAGAGGACGGAGGAGAAGCACCAAAAACAGATAGATTGTTGTCCTCATGGCTCGCTCGCCTCGCGTTTAATCTCTCATTCTGTACATTAGTAGAACTTTGTGAGCCCAAATCAGTGGTAAAGGGATCTTCACTAGCAATAGCATCGATGGAGAGAGAATCTGTCTCCCTCAGCAGATTAACCGAATTTATATCAGACTCCGGTAATCTTCTCGTGTTTTCTGAAGATGTATCAGAGGAAATGGCATGAATGTCTTGTGCTATTGGACGATTTCCTGCTGAATGAGGCCGCTTGAACACAGAAGAAAGTGTAAGAGGGAAATCTTCCTTCATGTAAAATGAACTAATATTTTACTAACAAGTGATAGAATAAGGAACCATGTACCTGAATCATATCAGCTATGCTCTTACGATGACCAGCCAAAGAAGTATAAGCTTGTTGTTCCCCAGATGATGCCTCATCCTCAGGTTCCTCTCTATGAGTCGAAAGAGCAGTTCTAGAAGAATGCAAGGAGGACCTTATCCCCATATTATCCCAAGAAGTTGTTGGACTCTGATTATTATCACCAACCCCACCGAAATGACGCAACAAGTGCTGATTCTCCCGTGAGATTAACGGAGGAGGGAGTCTCGGATTCAAGTTGATGTTCGACAAATAGTAAGCTACATATGCAGGATCACTACGTATCTCTTCTTCCGAGTCATAATTCTCAATAGCCCTACTTAAAACTTCAGAGCTACTACCTTCTTGTTGTTTCAAGAGATTCCTAAGAGCTGCAACGGAACCTTCCATGCTAGGCGGCGCACTTCCACTCCTACTAGGGATTTTACCGGTATGATCACCACTATCCAACCTATTTCTTTTCATTAAGAATCCTAAATCTTCAACTGCCATATCAAGTGAACCAAAGATCCCACTATCCCTAGAAGCCTGCCACTTTTTTATATGATCACCCTCAACCATTCTCATAGCGCTCTGAGTCGTCGTCATATTTCTATTATAATCAAGTTTCTATATATCATACAAAGTAGTTTCACAACACCTGACACAAAGAACAAAACCTTAGTCCATAAGAGAACAAAAATCTAAGAACTTTAAGATATGGTCCCAAATTTCATAAATCACAACAACAAAAAACAAGTAATCGACCATATATGAATGAAATCTACATACCAAGGATCGAAATTTCAGACTAAGATTTTACCATTTCCTGAAGCTAAAAAATCAGTCAACTCACATAATCAGCAAAAACAAGAACAAGATCATCAAAAGACGCCATCTTTATAAAAGCAAACGAAACCGTTGAACTCATTCATCAACCTCGTTACAAACAGAGAATCATATCCAGAAGCTATAATTAGGGATCAAAATTAAACAAAAGACTTAAAAACTTTTATCTTTTTTTATCCATAAACTAGTTCCTTGCATGACTTGTAGAAGAAAAAAAAGTAGATACAGAGAAGAAGAGAGAAGAACAGGTAGAGTTAAGTACCTGATGGTGATATTCAAGCTTCCATGAAAGTGTTTTCTCAAAGAGCTCGAAATAAAATGTTCAAGAGAGAAGAGCCCCAGAGAAAAAGAGAGATAGAGAAATTAAAACTAAACCCTTTGAAAAGTTTGCTTCAAGGGGCTTCGTCGAGTCACCAAGTCAAGACTAATCTAAAAATGTTTTTTTTTTCCGGCAATTATTGGGATGTTTAATCTTTAATTTAATACACAAATTTTTTGATTTTGAAGAGTTTTTCGATATCGTCTTTTAACAACATTAGAGTATTCAGAATCACGACGGATTCGCACACGAAGAGGTCGTCGTCTCTATATAATGACCAAAATATCCCTTGTAATGTTCTTTAACGGTAGTGGTGAAGAAAGCCCTTTTAAGTAATTTCAGCTTTGGCTCCAAATTGGTGACTAGGTTTGCCACGTGTTGACACTTCTAGTTGAAAGAGATACGTTCACGTGGCTTTGTCTCGGTTGCCTGTTCCTTACCACCACCAAAACACACTTCGGTTTTTTTGTTTTTGTATCTTCTTCTTTTTGGATTAAGAAAATCTAATTGTTTGTTTAGAAACATAAACACTATTCAACGTTTTTATAATGTTCATTTATAGTTCTTAGGATTTTTGTTAAATATGAAGTGTGGAAAAGAAATAAAAGTCCTTTTAACGACACATCAAAGACTTTGGCCAAAAACAATGAAAGTGATAGAAGAATCACCATCATCATCATGATCATGGATTTAGTTTCCCATCAACAAGACAACATTGGATTCTTTCATATGTGCTAAATCCAAACGACAACAATGAAAATGGTCCCTTAATAGTGAATCTATGACCAAAACAAGTGTGTTCTTGGAATTGGACCCTTATTGCAAAGAGAATGAATGATAGCAAATGGAACAAACACACAATTTCTTCTTTGATTTGTCTGCAAAAGAAAAATCCCCAAACCGGAATCTTTATGATCGGATAAAAAGGGAACAGTTGATGCGACTGAATTTGAAATCATTGTGTGTTGTTCATCATTTTATTATCAACATGGGAAAAGAATTGGAGATGGGTGTCTTTGAAGCTTCCCAGCTGAAAAGTTGAGCTTTTTCATCTTTTCTTCACACCATAGAAGTTGCTCTTTACTGATTCTCGACATCCTCAATACCCGTGTTGCGAGTTTGATGTCAATGGCTGCAAACAAGAGTTGAACACCTTCCCATGTTTGAGGCCATGATTTCTTTCTCAGCCCTTTTGTCTTCTTTGAAAGCTCCTTCGCTTTCACTCTCTTCTGCAAAAGTTTTTCTCTTATGAGACACCAAAGAAGCATACATAGTTAATAGCTTCTACACATAACATTTGAGTACAGACCTTATCAATGGATGACTGAACCAGTAGTAAAGGAGTTATAGAATTTAAATGGTTGTTGTTGTGGTTCCCAAACAAGTGAATACCCCCATTTGGTTTCTTCTTGTCCATTTTCAAGAAAACGTTGAAAGTAAGGATCGAGCTCTCGATGATTTGGATGAGATCATCAGCGAGGACCATGAAACCTGTATCTTTCTCCATCTCCTTTTTATCTGACCCTGAGATGTTTTGAACATAACCAACTCAAAGTGTTACTACTTCACATAAGGTTTTAAGTCGCAATGTGAGAGCTGAGGAAATCAGTACCTTGAATCTTAGGAGCTTGAAGTAGCTTAGGCATTGCATTTCTAGCACGTGCATAAAGTTCAGATCTTGAGCCTTGTTCAAATGGTTCATTCTCTATATACCTCTGCAACAAGACTAGGAATTGCTGAAACAGTTGGGCAGTATGGTTGTAACAAGTCGGGGTTTCGGGTTGGCATGAGATTAAGTGGCTCAGCTGCGTGTATTGACAGTGAAGTGCCTCCCAAGTGAGGCAGAGTTGAGCAACATAGGCCGTCTCCAGATCTTGATAAGGGTCAATTTCCGTCGGCTGCAAATGCTCGATATCTTCCTCGGGAACATCCAACTTCTTGAGAGATAGACATCGAAATGGCGATGACAGCTTTTTAGATGCAGATCTTGGCGATGGAGTTGAAGGACTTGGAGCAATTCCAATGCCTAAGAGAGTGAAGAGTAACCAACAAATCCATCGAAGAGATATAACAGGAATGCAACATAAAAAATCCATTGAAAAAACTCAATGAAAAGAGATCAAGCAAGAAGCTTTTACCAGTTTCCTTGAGCTGCTGAGAGCTTAAGCGATCAAAGAAGAGCATTCGCTCACAATACTTTTCATAGACCGCATCAAAACCTCCCCACCATTGAAGTCCTTCAGCGACCACATCTCTCCACTCACTTGAACACTTGTCTTCTCCGTCGTCATCATCTTCGTCTAGATACGATTCCTCTTCTTCTTCTTCTTCTTCTTCCTCAGGTATCAACACCATGAAACTGTTTCTCCTCAACTCCTTGAGCCTTCTCTTAACCTCATTGGTAATGAAATCATCATCGTCATCTTCGATCTCATCTGTTTTAGCCGAATCTATCACACCAGCTTCAGTGTTATCACTCCTTGCCTGCTCTTGCTGAGCCAAAATCTTGTCTTCTTTCTCCTTTTCAAGGTTTGGCTTCCGTGACTTTCGAAATTTTCTAACTCTCAAGAAATCCATTGCCTCCTCAAACACACTTGGAAGAGTAGTGTCTGTTTTGTTAAATCTTAAGATCTAAATTGAGACTTGTTTGCATGAAAGAAGGATTCTCTTCTGCCCCAACGGACTTAATCAAAGTAGCAACTAAACCACAGAATGTGTAAAATGCATGAATCTAGTAGGATCTCAGAGAATCATGACCAAACCCTAGAGAATCAGAGCAACCGACAGAAGATGGAAAATGCATAAAGAAAGAATCAAAATTTTCACAAGATCAGTAGGAACAAGAGCATTTGTGTGAAAGTTCAGATACGATTCATAAATCACTAGCATTACCTGGTAAATCAACACTCCACTGAAACTAGTACACTGAGGAAGAGAGTGAGAAAAAAACAAAAAGAAAGAAAAAGATTCAAAATTTAAGAAAGAAAGACAAACCCATAAATAAAAGCAAAACAAAATCGAAAGATGAGAAATGAAAACGAAAGACAAAGACAGGAGGAGGAGGAGATTAAAGAAGGAGAAATGTTTCTAACAACTTGCAAGAGAGAGAGAGAAAGCAAGTGTAGTAATAATGTCTTTACTCTCTATTCAAGTTTTTCAGTATATGGACAGAGAGAGCACAATATAAATGTGAGTAGGGAAGAGAGCAAGTATTATTATTGATATCTAAACAGATGTCATTAAATTCAGTAATTAAACTTTGTGATTTCAAATTCCAAAAAAAGTAGAGATTTTCTGCTTTTAAAAACCCTTTCCTCAAATATTTCCATTCCCAGTCAAAACCCAATGGGTCGAAATTGTCTTTTACTTTTTGGTTTCTTACTTTACTTTTCTGATACTCCTTTTTCTATTAGTTCTGAAAATAAAAACTGAAAAGTCTTAATTTTTTGTTTTGGTTGATTATTATTAGAGAAGGTCGAGAGAGATGTATGAATGAAGGAAAAGGAGAAGAAGCAGCAGTAAGTAAAAAAAAAAAAGCATCGTACAGAGAATATTGTCAGAAAAGCCGCGCTATCTGTTCTCCTTCCATTTGGTCACTGATCTCTTCCAATTTACATCTTTACCCTCGTCCGTGTCATATATATTTACGGATCTTGTCTGAAAATATGGGCTTCTCCTTAATTGGGCTTTTCTTTATTAAGTTTGTTTATGTATGTGACACGACGTCGTTGTTCGACTTTGATTGCATTGGTATATGGTTTCTTAAATTTACTTTGGTTCGGTCGAGTGGAGTTGGATTAAACCGAACTGGAGAGCATGTATGTGGTCATGGATCATCTTCTATGTGATCGATCATTTGGCTTTTGGCATGTCGCCGTCTCGTCTCTCTCAGGGACTAACCACTACTACTTCCTCTTGTAAGTTCATTCGATTCTGTTTTTGCTTGTTTCAGCTGATGGAATTCTTGTTTTACTCAGCTGTTACCGAGAGTTATCATCTTAGCCGTTTCGTTTTCTCGTGATACAATTTTGACTTTTTCAATAGATTTTTTTTTGAGTTTCCAATCAATCAGATTGCTATGAATTGGCTTGTTGACATAGGGACTTGTCTTGTTGAGTTAAGCCTATAATATTCAGGGGATTTCCTGATATAACTGGACAAAAAGGGTATCCTTTTATTGGTTTCAAATCGTATGACAATTTGTTTTTGGCCTTTGTGCTGCTTTGCCTTAGGCAATTGAGTTCTTTTAGTTTGCTTGTTTCGGGATTATGAGCATATCTGTGGTCTTCTTGTATCGCTTGGTTTATGTGAATGAAGCTTCTTTGGGATTGAGACTCTGATAGTAATATGTTTTTGTCTATATATATATATATATATATATATGCTTCTAAGTTCTAAGTTAGTGTTGTGCTTGTTACTCTTAGACATACTTAAAGCTACTAAATGTGTGCTATTCAATAATGTTCTGATTTCAGTGGAATAATTAAGTGTGACTGATGATGCTTTTATGTCGTTTATGTATTCTTGGTGATCTATGTGTTGCAAGGATAGTAATGAACCGAAGTAAAGAGAACATTGCTCCGACATTGAAAGATGATAGTCCATTTGGAAAGCTTACAGAAGATCTCTTGATTGAGATATTTATAAGAGTTCCAATAACAAATTGGGAATAAATATCTTATGTTAGAAAACAGTGGGCAAATTTATTCCGCGGAGAATGCTTATGGCTGGCTGCTCTTAATCGGGCGTATCCTCTTGCTAGCAAAACTAAGAGCTGGATTGGACCAATCCGTCAAGGATTAAGCAAACGGTGACTGGAACACACTTGATAATATCTGTGAAGAAACTAGCTTAATGTCTTAGTTAGATTCAAGGAACTTAATAGCCTTTTAGCTGCAGGAGATATGTGGCTTTATACATCAGCAGGAACATATTAGCTGTGGATACAGACATAGATGAGATGCTTGGACATATTTACTTGTTTTTGAAAGATCAGCTTCAACTTTCCACTATGCCTGCTTCAGGCGTTTTGCATGGAACCCTGATCGGTAAGCTAGGTTGGTATGCATTTGACTCTGCTTAAAGAATACCAAAATGATCATTGCTAATGACATTTCATCTTATATTCTTGTGCAGACCAACTGAGTGTTTGTGGCAAATCGAAAGAAGAAGCTGATGAGCTTGCTACAAAGATCTGGCTGGCTCTAGAGGACACTAAACATACTTTCATCGTGCTGATTGCTGAAATCAATCGCACAAGAATATGATGTAAGAAAGGAAAATAATGTCCACTAAGTTTTCAAAAATCTCTTTTTTCTTGTAGAAACTAACTCTCTAAGAGATACAGGGCTTTCTTCCATATCCATATTCAAGACCGATCAAAATCCAGTGGAAGGTGTTTGAGAAACTGTTTGTGGATTTCCGCGACTTGCTTGATCATTCAGAGTATTGCGACCTAATAGGAATTGCCAAGAAGAAGTTTCAAACAATACCTTATGTTTGGTTAGGCTATTAAACTTACTTGTACATAAGACATCTAAAGTCTGCATCTTGTAAAAAAGAAAGACGTATAAAATGCAGATTCTTGGCCATGTATAATTCGTGGTTAGTTTTAAAGCAAAAGTCAAACGTTTTGTTGACTATTTTAACTTCTTCGTTACTTGCTAAGTTCTGTTATCCACTTTATTCTTCTTCTTCTTGGAAATGGGTCTCATGAAAGTAATGACGATTCTGGTTCTCTTCGTCTCGGTGTCATCGACCTTGGCGCAATCCAACAATGGCGGTCACATTTCGATACTCGTCTCGGAAATGGGTCTTGACTTTGCGAAAGATTACCTTATCAAGAAAGTGATCACTGTGACGCTTCCGCTTCAGCTACCAGACATTGAGAATAAGGTTAAGATCCCTTTAATCGGGAAAGTTCGAATGGGTCTATCGAATATTCAGATTGATGCAGTTCATGTCCAGTCTTCGAAGATCGAGACGAGAAAAGATGGAATTGTTTTGAGTGTTTTAGGTGCTACAGCAAATTTTAGCATGGACTGGTCTTATACTTATAGAGCTTCCTTCTTTGAGATTTCTGATCATGGAGATGCTTCTGTCGAGGTAAAACTCTGGAAAAGTGTTGTGCTTTTGAAGTGGGTTTTTGGTTCATGTTCTGAAACTATCGAAAACCAAATTGGGTCTTTTTAGTTCTGTTTGTGTTCATCTCATTTTCTCTTGTTCAGACATTGTTTGTTTCATGAGAAGAAGAAAAGCTTAACACGTGAATGTTCTGATGATGAAGGTAAAAGGAATGGATGTGAGAATCACTGCCACTTTGGTTAATGATAATGGAAGTCTAAAGATTGTCTCACGGGAAAATGATTGTACAGTGGAGAACATTGATATTCATATCAATGGTGGTGCTTCTTGGCTATATCAAGGGTATTATTAAATGTTACATAAGTTTTCTTATCTCTAATCTCTTTATTCCAAGATTAGAAAGAAAAGATGAAGAAAGTTTATTTAGTTTTCTTTTTGCAGGGTGGTTGATGCATTTCAAAAGATGATTATATCTACTGTTGAAAAGACTGTCTCTACTAAAATTGTAGAAAATATGAAGAAGCTCGATTCTTTCTTGCAATCACTTCCAAAACAGAGAAATATTGATGACTCTGCTGCAGTGAATCTTACTTTTACAGGCAACCCTGTCTTAGGGAATTCGTCGGTTGAAGTTGACATTAATGGTTTATTCTTGCCAAAGGGTAATGATGTTAAAGTTTCAGGATCTCGTTCTTCTTCCGTCTTTGGTGGGGTAAAGAGAATGGTGACAATTTCAGTAGAAGAAGAAGTTTTCAACTCTGCAACACTTGTCTACTTCAATGTAAGTTCTCAAATCTTGATATAGACTGATTGATGAGTATGGTGGAACAAGAAAGTTTGTAATCTTGTAGGATTGGTTTTGATCCAGGCTCAGGTGATGCATTTAGTTATCGGGGAAACAAAGAACGGATCGATTCTAAGCACATCTGATTGGAAACTCATCCTTCCAGAGCTGTACAAACATTATCCAGATAATAAAATGGTGCTTAACATGTCAGTAACATCTCCTCCTGCTGTTAAAATCACAGAGAATGGAATTGATGCGACGATTCAGCTAGAGATAGCAATCGATGTTCAAGACTCCGGAGAAGTCCTATCCGTAGCACGCATATCATCAGTATGCTAATTAATCCACAAAAAAAGTCTTAAGTTAAAGAAGCAATCCATAATCATTGGTACTTGGTTGCAGGTTTTGAATGTTGCATGTTCTGAAGAAATAACAAAGAACAATCTAACCGGAAGCCTCAGATTAAATGATTTCAATGCAACAATGAAGATGAGTAAAATTGGAGAGTTTCAATCAAACTATGTTCAGGTAAGTTAGTTATATCTTGAGTTTAAGATTTATTTTGATTAGCATCAAACTGGTGGATATGTGTTCTTGTTGTTAGGCTGCTACGTCTAGGATTCTTGAAGCCTTGTTCTTGCCGTACGTAAACACACGCCTCAGGAGAGGATTCCCTTTGCCGATTCCCGGCGATTTCACGATAAATAACATAAAGATTGTTTATGTTAGAAGTGGCATTTTGGTATGTACCGATATCGGCACTAGCACAAACCATTAAGCTATTATATAACTTCTTGCATTGCATGTACGTAAGCCGGAAGAAAAATAATGACAACCATATTAATTTTGCATGAAAAAAGCGTATTGTTCAAAGAAGATGACAAAAGAAGGATGAGAGACAATTTAAATTTCTATATATATTGTTCAAAGAAGATGACAAAAGAGAAAAAAAGAAACAAGACTACAAGAGATTATAGGTATTGTAAAATGGACTATTCAAGTTGCATTGAACTTGGAACATAAGAGCACACAAGTGGTTCGAGATTTCTGTTTCGAGATTCTCCAAAATCCACTTCTTTAAAAGATCCATCCTCTCCGATGATGAAAGCTGCGTTACGCATCCCCATCATGTCTTTGCCTTTATTAAAAACCACAGCGATTTTCTTCTCCTCATCAATGAAGAAACTTGCACCACTAAACGAAAACATAAACCCATTGCCGGTGAGAACTCTCATATCCACTGATAAGAAGAACTTGCTGCCCCACGACAACGTGTTGGGCTCAATCTTAGTTGTAACCCAGATCTCCATTTGAAATGTATCCTCTCGTTGAAATAACACAGCAAGCTGCTCATCTCTAACATTAGATAGACTCAGACCATCTGCAGGATACCACTCAAAGGGCAGAGGCAAACGTGGCCCAAATGTTTCTCTTGTGAAATCAAAAGAGATTAAGAAACTTTGGTCTCCTTGGCTAGGGTTTTCTGAATACATCTCATTAGCAAAGAAATATGCATTTCCCTTGAGAGAGACACCACCGCAATACCAACATATGTCCCAGTCTCGAGTAACATCAAGAACCCTCCATGAATCAGAGCTAAAGTCGTAGATTTTGAACTCAGCCAAAGCCAAAGAGAAAGGACCATGATATAAAATAAATCTCAAGATTTTGTGGGATTTGGTGTTGCTATTGTATCCCAGAGCAAACGAATAAAATTCCAATCTCTGATTATTATATGTGGCTTCGATCCACCGTGGTTGCCCACAATACGGGTTAAAAACAACGAGCCTAGGGTTGTCTTTCAGGATGCATAACAATAAACCGTCGCAGTGAAAGACTTGACGTACATAGATTTGATCTGAGGCGTCGGGGAAAATAAGTGTACCTTGACGTTTCATGCATAATTCAACCTTGTCGTAGTGAAGATTCACGTGCATCAGATAAACCCTAAAATCCATCATCATGACTACCATAAACTCCTTTTTCTTTGCTGCAGCTACTCTTGCTTGAGCAAGGTGCTTCTTTGCAAAGCTCCTACGTTTGAACAAAGTGTTCCATGTTTTGCAAGTAGATCGGACTCTTCTCAGAGATGTCACCGGAACCACCTTAGAGAGCACCTCCTCCGCCAAATCCCTTGGAAGATCCGAAAAATCCTTTGGAAGATTGGACATTGAGGATGGTCGATGTAATCTCATTAAAAAAAAAAAAAAACTTTTCTTTTCCTCTGTAAAGTTTACAGATTTCTTCCTCGCGCCTCTGCCTTGAGAATTGAGATGCATACATATATATATATATATATATATATATACGTGATTGAGGGAGTTCGGTTTTTTACTTTTTTCTCAAGAGTAATATATTATTAAACAAAGCAAACTTTAAATAGGCAGCTTTTAATGTGTAAAATCTATAAAACAAAGCAAACTTTAAATGGGCAGCTTAATATGCTTTTTTTTTTTTTTTTTTTTTTTTTTTTTTTTTTTTTTTTTCGTATATATATATATTAAAATTCAACCCAAAAAGGGCTTGGGCTGGGCCTTACAGAATAAGAAAATGGGTACAAAAAATGACATAAATTTTCCGACGATCTCCGGTGGTCGAGATCTTATCCCGGCGGTAGCCGGAAAGCAGAGAAGACCTAATTAAACCGGCAAATACAAGACCAAGAGATTCGCGATTCAATCGACGAGAGCAAGAACAGAAACTGGAGTATTTGAATCCCGCCACTGACCCGAAACCATCGACGAGCCATGTCCCTCTCCAAATCTTCCGGAAGAGGACCTCCTCCGACAAACGGAACCCAAGCTTTGATTTCTCAACCTAGCAAACCAAAGAGCAGACAGATCTAACCCTCAACCACCTGAAAAACGCCGACGAAAACCTTCTCCGAGACAGCAGTAGATCCGGTCCGGTGAGAATGCCGCGCGGAGGCTGACAAGAACAGAGGCTCAACCCATCCTTCACCAACCCAGCACCACGAGCAGCCAACTCCGGTACTAATTAACCGCTGTAGACACCAAGACAAACGACGCACCCGCCACCCCATTAGCAACTTCCGCCGCAAGCCGAGACACTTCCACGCGCCGATGAGCCGTGAGCAGCTTCAAGCAGATCTTCCAGCGTCCTTGACCAGAAGATCCACCGCCGAGGCTCCTCGAAACCGGCTGGAAACATCACGACCGCATCACCAACAGGAAGTCCGTCGACGACATAAACGCTGGCTCACCCCCGCTTTCGATAATGTAAGTCTAACCCTGTAATTAAGATCAAGAAACCCAGAAAAAAAACTAGATCTAGAAACTTTGGATTCGTCTCCAAGAGAGAGAGAAGCGCTAAAACCAATGCAACGATTGTGCTTTTTATTCCTGCTTAATATGTTTTTTATTACACTATTAACTAGTAAAATCTTTTTTAATGTGTCCCCTGAAATAAGCCATTGAAGAATGTTTGTCCAACATAGCATTCAATACAATGTTAACAATAATATGTAGATGCTTTTGCATTTAAGTTTGGTTTGGGGAAAGGACGGAGGAAGAGATGTCTTGGGTAGAGTCAGATTCGGGTTTCACCGGAAGACGGAGAAGCGTTTTTACGAGATATCTTTAGTTCTTTGGCCACTTGCACCATATTTGGAACTTCACCTCTAAAACCGATGCATCTTTCTGAGAGGTTAAGGAAAACTTCCAATAGGCAACGCTCTTCCTCTGGAACCTCATCCATTTTCTCCAACATGTTTGAATCTATGATCTCATCCATTCTTCCCTTGCCCATGGATTTGGACAACCACTTTGGAACTTTGTTTTTTCCTCTCCAATTCTTCCAACCACAAAGCTCATCAAATCTTTCTTCTCCTATCAGAAGCTTTTGCATGGAAATTCCAAAGCCAAAAGCATCATCAGTTTTCTCCGACACTACTTTATTGAACAGATAATTATCGTCCATGTAATCGTAATCTCTGATAAATTGATGAGAGTAAAGAACACAAAAGTGTTTAGGAAAAATTATAATAGACTCTCATCAGAATAAAGTTATAAATTAAATATCCTAAACTAAGATATGATAATCTTCTAGATCCTTCTTGATCTTCATGATTTCTATATTTTTGTGCAATCATCTTGACCGTCGATCTTGGTCGATCTCCGGTTCTCCCAATAAAGGAAGAACATTAAGTTGGTGTTACGTTGTTGAATAGTCCTTCCTCGAAAAGTTCCTGATGATTGACATATTTCATGAAGATCTTTCACGAAAAACACTTAAAAGAAGAGAAAACAATTAATGATGATAAGTTATTTAGTTGTTAACCTGATGGAGGCAGAGCCGTGTCTCTCTTAGTGGCAAAAGGCCCTTAAGCCACATTTATAGTTAAACATTTTGGGTCATGTTTTCAGTAATATTGTTAGTTGACTTTGTGTTGATGTGATCAAGTCTTGATATGATATGGTTTAACATCTCATATCATGATTTTAGACTTTTTTAGTATTTAGAACCTCGTGTTTTTTATATGCATTCCTAAGTAAAATTTGTTTGTACTCCTTTTATCCTAAATTTAAAAATGTAATTTGTGTATCTACCACAAACTACTATTTTGTTTCTACCATATTTAAATGTTTCAAAAAATGTGTTCCTATTTAAATATATGTTTAAATTTTGTGGAATAGAATTTATGAAAATATCTTTTAAGACTTGTAATTTGGCAAATGATAGTTATCAGCCTTGTTTAAAAAATCGCTAGGCGCTAGTCGGGCGGTGAGGGTGGGCCTAGCGCCTAGCAAGAAAATCGGAGATTAAACGGGGATTAATCGGGAACTAGTTTTAAGGCTATTTAATATTTTAAAAACATATTAATCTATTATAAATAAGAAATTTCTATAATTTTGTTTTTAAAATTGCATTAAATACATGAAAACAAGAATTTAATGTCAAACTTATGATTTTTATACAAATTATGAACATAAGTGGGACGTTTTAAATTTTAGATTCAAAAAAAAAAAATTGGGCTAGGCGCCGTCTAGGCGGGCTAGGCGGACAAAAATCGGATCACTGATTTTTTTTACCGATTTGGACAAAATCGCCGCGGTCTCCACCCGATCAGCGCCTATGCGGCCGCCTAGGCGGTTAGGCGGCCGATTTTTAGAACAGGGGTTATTAGTGATGTTACGCTAGAAGACATAGTGACTCATTTTTCTTTGTTGACTTGATAAAGTCCTTGTAGTGTGCGATTTGGGTTATTGCTTATTTGTTATTTATTCGATATTTATTATCTTCCACAGCGTAGCCAATGGTTTTCTTGATCTTTTTTCTACGGGAAGTATGGAGAGTTCTCACTTATTTTTTTTATTTTTTTTATATATCCGATCGGCTGATTCGGTTAGCTTCGGTAGGAACGCACCGGAGTGCTACAGAGTGGACTCACTATCACTCTGAGGGATGGGCTACCACACTGCCTGGACTCACTAGCTGGATCGCCTGTTACCAAACTACCAGGTAAACTGTCTGGGCCGAAACCCAAACCCAGACTTCCCAACAAAGTGTTGATAACAGCGAGGGAGGAAGATCGAACCCGAGTTCGGGGATTTCACCCTCAACGCCGGACTCGCCCTACCACTCGCCCACCACCTTGCGGGCAGTTCTCACTTATCTTGTGCTTTTATTGGAGCTAATCCAAACTTTGGCTAATTGTAAATACAAATGCAAACGTGCTTGTACCACTTCCACTTTTTTTAGATTAGAATTCCAATTTTTTTTTTTTTTTTTTCAATTTCAATTTGCGTTTACAATTAAAATGGCTAATACTGTAGCTTCATCTGAAATAACAAATCATTTTTTTAATTATAAACGTAAACACTAAACTTAGAGTTTAAATTTAACGCAACTGCAAATAGCGTTTTGTAACGATTGCGTTGATGATTTATAATACAACTTAAGGCCTGTTAAATATGGGCCCAACTTCCTAAATAAAAAAAAATTGTTCATATGACGCAAAAAAGAGGAGAAAAAAATGTTTTTGTATTATTATATCTCTGTAGAAAAAAAAAAAAAAAAGTAAAGTCAAAAGATCCTCTGTCATCAATCTCTCCTCCGTCTCCTGCTTCGTGTATCGGTTCGTTAACATCACCACTCTGATTTCTTCATATTATTTTTAAACCCGCGAAAACAATAAAAGGGCTTTCTTCTGATTTTCTTTTCAAAATTTTAAACCTTTCTCTAACGATATGGAGATCTCCCTCCTTCTCTTCTTCTTCTTCCTTTAGGGTTTCTCTCCTTATCTCCTCTTCTCTTCTCTCTCAGCTTTTCAATGGATATAGCGACCAGTAATGCTCCAATCAATCTTGAATCCGCCGCGACGAATTCGATGGTTGAAGACGATGGAGTAGAACAACCGCCTGCGAAAAAGCCACGTTTTGACGAGGACCTGAATAGAGTGGCGGAGATTGTTCTGGTTCTATCGGCGTTCGGGAGGATGCGAGGTGGGGAAACTCCGACGGCGTTGGAACTCGACCTGATGTTTGAAGCTAGGTCGAAATTAGCTGGGATGTGTCAGGAATTTTACCCTAAGGATATTATTCGTAAGGATGATGTTAGAGCTGTGATTAACGATTTGGTTTTGGATGACCAGCGATTAGGGTTCCGACCTCCTAACCTCCCCATCTCTGAGAGGCTATCTCTTGGGAAAAGAAAGGTAATGCCTTTCTTTCTTGACCTTGTTCTTTGATGCTCCCAATGTTGCTGCTTGTGTTTTCTTTGAATTTGCTCACTTCGATTGGCTATAGTTTTGTCTGCATTTTGAGAGATCAATTTTCTGTTTTGATTATAATTTTGTCCAGATGGAAGCAGCAGGAAAGTATCCTACCTCTTCTACAGTATCCACAGGATATGCATTGTCGCAGCCAAATGGTAGTGTTGCTTCTCCAGGTCTTGGTACGGCTACACTTTCTGTCCCTATTTTGACAAACCATCGAAGCTCTATCTTCACCCTTTTGTTTCTGCAGCGAATAAAGCTTCTGTGGCACATCAGTGGCCTAGTAGTGAAGTTTCTACTACTAGCACAAGTGGAAGCCATTTCAAATTGGACAGACCTCAGATGATACTTAACGGTGCTTCTCAAGGGACTCGTAAGTCCTTCATATCCCCCTGTTGTTTTGTGTAGATGCAGTTGGTTATAAGATACTTTTGGCCTTTGTATTGGAAATTAGAACACTTTTAGTGTGGCTGTATTCTGGTTGGTTTGCTATTGCTTTATACGATAGGACTTGTAAATTTAGTGAAGGTGAACATAACAGCCAAATACAGATAATTGACCAATCACTAGGTTATTAGGCTTGTAGCTGAGTAACTTTTCCCATGCTTAGAAATAATTATACTTTTTGTGATTTCTTTTGCAAAGCTTATTGGTCATGAGAGATGATAAATATTATTGGTTAGCCTTTCTTTTTGGTTAGGTTTCTATCTTGAGTTGCTAAATTTTCTTGTTATGTTTCTAGTTCTTTAATAGCTAATTCATAGTTGATTTTGAGTTTGTTTCATATACTACTTGTTTCAGCAATTTCTCCCGCAAATTATTATGCTGAACCCTGGTCTGCCCAACTTCCATCCACCATATCTTTCAGTACTGCACCAGATAAGAAGGTTCCTATTCAAAGTTCTGTCAGGGCAGCAGATCCAAGCTTTAGGCCATTCAGGCACGGTACATTCGCAGGCACAAATCAACCGATGCAGGGGATGCATTATAGTCAGACTTCTTCGTTTGGAAACACCCATAGTGAAATTGCAAAGATAATCCATAAATTTCTGCAACCACTGGTTAAACAATATCCTCTGTGGAATCCACCTTCAAGAGAGTATATGAGCAGGACAATGCCATGCCAGATGTGTAATGTTACCATCAATGAAATGGACACTCTACTGATTTGTGATGCCTGTGAAAAAGCATACCACTTGAAATGTCTGCAAGGAAACAATTTGAAAGGGGTTCCAAAATCTGAATGGCATTGCTCAAGATGTGTGCAAGCATTCAATGGGAAGCCATTTCCTCCTACATATGGGCGTGCAACTCGTGCCGTACCTACGACTACAGCAAAAATGCCTTTTAGGGCAGCCGGAGTTCTATCATCCTCAGCGAAGAAGATTGGATCGATGGATATAAAGGGTAATCAACAAAAACCAATTGTAACTACGTTTTCAAGAGTGCAAAATATTCCTGGCTTGGTTTCTGGAGCAGCAACTACATCTCGTTTTGAGTCTGCTAGTGTAAATGCAAATACAACTGCAAGCACAGCAAAGACTACTAACATTGGATCACAAGGCTTTACGGAAAGTGTTATTTGTGGAGCTAATTCTCCAGCACTTGTATCGCTTACCGAGACTCCAAATCGTACAGCACTTGCAAGTACAAGTTCTGTGATAAACAATGGCCTCATTTCGAAACCTTTAACACCAGTTAGCACTATGAGCAGCACTTCTCCATTGCATGTTGGTAACCAAGTTCCCGTGAATGCAACCTCAAACGCTAGTCCGAGTACACCAATAACTGCTAGCCTTGTAGCACAACCCCCGACAGTTACCCAAAATGGAGACAGCAGCTCAACCGCCTCTGGGACTGCTGACCATTCTATATCGAATGCGGACCTTACCCCTCAAGTTCATACATTGACTGTTACTTCCAGTAGCAATTTTCAACCGGCAGTGTCACATTCTGAGATTGCAAAAGCAACTGAAGATGCAGCTACTACTGAAAATGTTCCCGAGTGTGAGAATCAATCAGAGTCTACATCTCATTCAGACTCTGTGAATGATAAAACAACATCAGATATTGCTCAAGAATCAAGCAAGGATGCTAAAGTTGCTTCTGAAACTTGTGAGAACCACCCAACCAAATCTCCAGCCACAGTTGTATCAGATCAGGACACAAAGATCACTGCCGAACCATCCATGCCACAAGATAATTTAGCTTTCCAGACAGAGAAAACAGCGTCTCAGCCACTTTCGGTGTCATCTAACTATGATTCAAAAACCGAGAAGGAAACACCAAATGTCCAAGATTCTTTACAGAATGTTCCGGGAGATTCACAGGAGGGCAAAGTGTTAAATGGTTTAGATGATAGACATCAGGAACAGCCTTCTGAGCCGGAGTTGTATAAGTCAGATTCGATAAAGGAAGCAAATGATGCCTAAAAGTTTTGAGCATTCACCTGGGATTTTACTTCACCAGCGATTCTCTTCTTCTCTCTCCCTTTGGCTCTCAATGGTTTATATATCTCATTTGTTAAGTGAAACCAGGAAGATTCAAAACATTGAAGCTGTGGATGAACTTGTCAAAGCTTGTGAGTGAAGACGATGACGATTTGATATAACATGTTACATTGGTTTACGGCATCTTTGATCTAACTCTGTGAAGGCCGAAGGGAACTGTAATAGAATCTTGATTCAGGTTTTGCAACTTATGAAATAAAATGATTTTTCTTATTCAGTATAAACGATTCAAGTGCTATGTTACATTTCAATCGTTTCATTGGAATCTGACTGTCCTTGGTATCGAGGAAAGAAAGTATACTTTGGAAGTAGTGGAGTATTATAGGAAACAATTAGATTTGTTTGGCATGTTTCCTATAACAAACATTCAAGAATACACAAATAAACCAAACAAGTAAACAAAAATTAACTTGATGCTTACAATATATACAGATTTATATATATTGAAAAGTTATCATGTTAGACTTGATATTGTAGTTATACTTTTCGTTTGGGAGTTGTGATACATATAAGCCAATTATCAAGTCAGCACTCTTTATGTGTCTTTATTGTCTACAAGTCTTGTAAGAATACAAATGTGCATTAATGCTCACAAGTCACAAGGGCTAGGCCAAAAGTGAGTGTATATAGGATTATACAGCAACCACAGAGATAAGAGGGATGGAAATATTAATCATAAGGGTTTCTGAAATTTTTCAAGAGCTCTGGAATGTCATACCCCAACATATCATCAACAGTCTGCAACATTTTCGGCTTTAGCTTCTCAAACTTGTCGATGTTGTAACCACTTAGCACCTCCCTGAAATGATCCACATTTGGGAAATCTCCTTTTGGTAAGTGATGCTCTCTTTGTACCTGTTTTCATGTCACCCACAAAATTGAAACACATTAGCATGAAATATTCTCGGAATCAGAACCGGCGTACTGAAATGATCCGCAGAATCAAACCAATTACCAACCTTTCCAAACTCGTCTTCCAAGTTATCTATCAGTTTCTGTTGAGCTTTGGCTTTCCCCATTATCGCTGGCATCTCCTTCTTCAAATGGCTGATGATGTACGCATGTATCTTTGCTGCTCTTGCCCGTTTCACAAACTCATTTATCTATTAGACAGAAAAAATATGGTTAAATCCAATCAGAGGGGAGGGAATGAAAGAAGAAAGGTGCACACTCACTCGGCGATCACAAGCTTTCTTTGGAATGTCTTTCAAATCAGCAAGAAGGTCATCTTGCTCCTTTTCAAACAACTCTCTCCCAATTGGACCAGTTGCAGCTTCGTTTATGGGTTTATCACTAAACGAACTGTTCAAAGCAATAAACAAGGACATTAAGACATAAATTTTAGTTTCAAACCGCTTTTATATAAGCCAAACACTGCCACAAGTTGAAGAAACAGGTATGCTTACCCAATGTAGACACGGGAGACCTCAGGAGTATTGAGAACTTTCCCAAGTGACCACATGAGAGCTCCATATACCCTCATTAGCTATACACGATAAGGAAAAAGACATGTAAATGTATAAGAACATGGAAAACAATCCAAGAAGTGTGTGAAAGAAGGAACGAAATAGAATCGATAACAGATCAGGGCGTCAATGGTCAACCTGCTGAGTGTCCACTTGATCAGCCTTATTAAGAACAACGCGGATCTTGTCATCATGACCGCGTAAAGATGAAATTACACGCTTGAACTCATCACTTACATCCAGCTTGTGTGGGTCAAATAAGAGGAGGATAAGATCGCACTTAGAGGCAAACCATGATGTAACACCAGTGAAATCATATGCTCGCTGGGTTCTTTGCTTTTCCCCTGATAAAACTCCAGGGGTGTCGACAAATGTTACATGCTCCAGCAGCTTAAACAAAGATGAATGGATCAACAATTATCAACAAATCAATACAGGCAAATACAATGAACAATCTCCTGTCAGAAGCATGAGGTTAAACATACAGGGTGAGGCATCTGAGAGCATTCAAACTTTGACAAAAAGGCAGTCCCAAAAGTTGTAAGACCACTGAATGGCATATCTGCTTGAACTGCTACTGTGTTCCCCGGAATACTTCTTTCATCAGGTCCAGACTGTGAAACACATTGAACAGATAGACGTCACCCTTCATGAGAGGTGAAAATGAAGTAATCTAGCTACCATTGTCAACTACATAATTGACACCTAAAATGTGTATTCCATTATCCAACAAAAAAAAAACAAATGAATAGCAGAAGATGATGGATCAACGTTTTGAAGGACTAATACATTCTCCCAAAAATGAAACCTTGGAAAATTACAAATTAACATACCATGACAACAACAAATCTGTCAGTAGTCGGCTCTGGTCCAATATGAGCTCCTGGAAAAATATGATAATTGAAGTTATACATAGCTGTTTTACAGTTAATCATTGACCTGTTTGCATACTTTTTTAAATATCGAAAGTAGTTAGGTCACAGAAGGAGAAGAAGAGAGGATAAGATGGATAACTTGCCTGGATAACTAGATTTAAGCAAATGCTTAATGAATGTTGTTTTCCCTGTGGAGTATTGACCCAGAAGCATTACCATAGGTTTCGCATCGAAATCACTGTTAGTCTAAGAAAAAAAAACAAGTAACTAGTTCAATGGTCAAATCTAGTTTAGAACTCAATAGTATTTGGAACTTAACTAACGCCATAAGAGCACCAATAAGCAATGCCCAACTCACCAACAAAGGGGATACAAAATCGTTAAACCGATATGCTACTTCAAGTGGCTTCAGCTTCTGAATGTACAACCTCTTCAGGCCATCCACTATAGATGTTACGGAGGACAGAGAAATCTGAGAGCAAGAATATTAGTTTTCAGAAACGATAGATGTAAACTAGCTAGCAGCTGAGAAAAACTTGACAGAAACAATACCAATGAACTTTGTGGATACATAATAGAGATATTGGTACGAACGACCAAAAGGGAATCTTTACTAAAAATGACAATCTATGGTTGGAGGTTAAATAGACTGCTTGGGGCAAAACAAACCTTTTTTGAAGATTTTGAAGAGAACCAGTGAGCTGTAAGTGATGTGTCTGCGGCAGGGCTACCTGAATAATTGAATCAAATGAGATATCTAATTACAAAAGTAAACCATTGGCTCTAGAGTATGAAGAGATTCTTTGTACCATTCATATTAGGATCACTCGACTTTGATGAATGCTTCTTCTTCTGTGATAAATGAACAGTTGTAAGTAATATTTCTTTCAACTTGAAAGATATTAATCGAAGATTACGGGCCCAATACTAACCGCCATTAATACACCCAGACCTTCCATGGTAGGAGGATTGATATTTTTGAAATCAACTGCAGTCAGCCAAAAATGTTGCAGAAACAAGGACAATATATTAACAGGTATTATTATACAGTGAACATATTAAGATGAAGACAGCCCTTAAGCAAGAGTTGGAAAACTAAAAGAAAATGGATTCACAATTTATTCACCATACCATCGCTATTAAGAATTTCATGCGATATTTCATGTCCAGTTTGAGCCAACGAAACAAGCTATAATGTTGGAAAAATAACAACATATTAGATTCCCAGGGAGACATAAACATGTAAAATGTGAGATATAGACTGGATCTCAACCTGCATGGCAACAATAAAGTCTTTGAAAGCAAGATACCCTTGTCTCTTTGAATCTGCAATTGCCCAGATCTATCAACAAAACCAGAAGAGAAGCAGCATAAGCTTCACAATTAGCAACAAACTTAAATGAATCAACAAAAGGCTTCAAATGCTTTGCCAAGTGACCGGTTAAACACAATGATATCATAAACCCTTAAAAAATTTACAACCACATAACTTTGCATACAACATGATTGCAAGGGCTTGTTATTTGAGATAAAGGGTATTTTAACTCCAATAAAGCTATAACCCTAGGCTTCAGAACTCAAAACAATTCAAGCAATCACCTATGTGTTTCCTCTTAATATTGATTCAAACTCATTATATAACTCCATCCCCAAATGAACTTGTTCAATCAATACAGTGGCCATTAATAAAGTTCCACAAGTAAGCAACGCAATAAATTCAACAGAAAATCCTTACCTGCTTCAACTCCGGTCGAGGCAAATTCGACATAGTGAAGAACTTGATCGCATCGTTACCAGTAATACGGCCATCGCCGTCTGCTCATTTACACAAAACAGAGAAGAAGCTCTTAGCGCTTATAGTGAAGACGAAAATCGAAGACTGAAGAAGCGCACCACCAGAATCAAAAAAAAAAAAAAAAAAAAAGACTACATGAAATGAGACCTGAATCGGCGAATTCGAACCATTCCTTGTAGATCAATTGATTCTCCTTTGAACAAGAACCAGCTGCGACGGATTCGATCTCCATCTCCGATTGCAAAATCTGAAGAGGAGCAGATTAACAAGCTTCTCAGGTGTGAATCCAGATTTGTGGATTTGCAGATATTGAACTTACACCGGAGAAGAAGAAAAGGTAAGCGAAAAAAAAAAATTGGTTTTGTAACGTGAAATTACGGTTTCAGAGAAAGCGGGTTCTTCGTCTCGACGGCAAGGGAGGGGAAACAAGAATTAGCAATGCAAGAAACTGCCCTTCATTTTCAAAACCTTACACATATTCCCCAAAACTGCTGATTTATCGTAATAACCCCTATGTAAAAATCTATGTAGTAGATTTTGCTGCGTAGTCAATTATTGCTAGAGGATTTTGATAGCTACTTGTCAAGGAGCAATAAAGAACAGATTGGTTGCTTGGATAAGTGATGAACTTATTCTTTTGTCAATTTGGTAAATACTTTTATGTCTCAACATGGTAAAATATGGTAAGACTTTAGATTTTGATTGATTGATAGATAGATTCTACATTAAAATGAAGGGATCTGTTAGACCAAAAAATGTCAGAGTAATTAAGTAAAAGGCTATGGAAAAAGGGAAATAAATGAATGGCAAAAAGCAAATTAAATATTTCAAATATTCTAATTTATTTGTTTCTTAACTATGGAATATGGATGATTGTTTTCAGTAACTTGTTTTTTTATGTGTACATTCTGACTGGTATATCCAAAGAATAACGGCATAACCGAATAACTGAATAGTTGTTAACGGAAATAACTGAACTGAATTAAATTTTTGTAAAATAATTACAAAACGCTAAAAAACTAATTTTAGTATATTAGTCATGTTTTACTTTTTTGTTAAATATTTTAACATTTTTTGTTAA